GGTGTTCTGCCTTGTTTGGTGCTAATGAAGTCAGGGACCCAGTTCAATGGACTGAAACCCTGATTTTTTTGTTGAGAATGTACAGATGTAGTGCCTATATCCATCTGCACTCTTGGAAAGCTTGCAGTTTTAGTTTGTCTTTAACGCTAGTTCGGCGGCTTTTGCGGGTGTGTGTTACTAACGTGCAGCCGGTCGCCGCCTGTGGAGTTCCCTTAGGTCATCAGGGGTGGTTCGGCGGTGCGTTGGTTGCAAAGTAGCAAATGCCGCACGTGTTTTTACTACTGTTTGCTTAGTTCTTTGGCACTTCTGAAGTGGCGGGTACTTGGGTTTTGGGTTTCGGGGGTTATTTTGCTTTAGTCTTTTGAAGTATGGTTGACGTACACCGTTGCATTAGTTTTGGGTGCACGGCGTAATGACCTGACATTTGTATACCTTGCGAGATGGTACCGCATTAAGTCTTAACGCCATCACCGTACATCGTGACTTTTTTTTTTCCTTTTGTTGAGAAGTTTTAAGATCAGTTTGAGAACGGTTCTTAAATCTGAAGCCTGATGTTGCCTGCAGTAGGTTGATCGTCTCTGGACATTGATCCCTGTGTGAATGGCGGATGCTGATTTGAGTCGCTGAGGTAAACATTTATTGACTCTTTCTCTAGAACATTTCCGTATTTATTTCTGTTTTCTCACTTGGGAACGGCTGGGTGCGGGGAAGAGGCTGCTTAGCCGCAGGCTGGCTTGGACTTGTTTAGATACATTTATTTTGAATTAAAAACTGAATGAAAGAACTGAGCTGCTCTGTAAGAGACAATGTATTTTTAATGACTGTCTTTGGAAAGATTTTCTTGCTAATTAGGTTTTCATTGTGTTTGCAGTGTTCTCAGTAATACCCTAATTTATTTTATCTTCATCAGATATTTCAGCTCTAACTACCTCTGGGTTAGATGGTTCCCACATAGTCTTTTTTTTTTTTTTTTAAGATTTTATTTATTTGACAGAGAGACACAGCGAGAGAGGGAACACAAGCAGGGGGAGTGGGAGAGGGAGAAGCAGGCTTCCCGCGGAGCGGGGAGCTGGATGCGGGGCTCGATTCCAGGACTCTGGGATCAAGACCTGAGCCGAAGGCAGATGCTTAACCATTTGAGCCACCCAGGCGCCCCGATGGTTTCCAGATATTCTGTGATATTTATCAGTATCGTCCTTTTATAAATACAGTTACTTTATTTATGGTCTAATACCTGTTTTTCCTCCCCCAGGAGAAGTCAGATTCTAAAACTATTTTTTCCCTTCTCTATGGACTTAATATAAAATTGGTTTTGTTTATGTTTTGGGTTTATTGTCTAAATAGCAACATAAACCCTTATCTGTTACAAAGCAATTGGGTACTTAAACCATGAGTTGTGGAAAAGAGTTTGTGGAAACATTAAAAAAAGTCAATTATCCCAAAGCTGATACTCTTAATGGGGAAGATTTTGACTGGTTGTTTGAGACTGTTGAAGATGAATCATTTCTGAAGTGGTTTTGTGGGAATGTGAATGAACAGAATGTATTGTCTGAAGAAGAATTGGAAGCTTTTAGCATTCTTCAAAATTCCGGCAAGCCTATCCTAGAAGGAGCAGCATTGGATGAAGTTCTTAAAACCTGTAAAACTTCTGATTTGAAGACATATATCTTGGATGACAAAGAGCTAGAGAAATTAGAGATTGAGGTTCAAACTCTGCAGAAATTAAAGAACCTAAAAATTCAGCGACGTAATAAATGCCAGTTGATGGCTTCAGTAACAAGCCACAAATCTCTGAGGTTAAATGCTAAAGAAGAAGCGGCCACTAAAAGGCTGAAGCAGAGTCAAGGAATTCTAAATGCTATGAATACTAAGATAAATAATGAACTTCAGGCTCTTACTGATGGAGTTGCTAAATTGATGATGTTCTTCAGACATTCTAATTTGGATCAAGGGACAAATCCACTGGTGTTTTTATCTCAGTTTTCCTTGGAAAAATATCTAAGCCAGGAAGAGCAAAGCACAGCAGCATTAACTTTATATACCAAAAAACAGTTCTTTCCGGGTATACATGAAGTAGTTGAAAGTTCAAAAGAAGAAAATTTTCAACTTTTAGATATACAAGCACCATCTATTTGTGATAATCAAGAAATCCTTGAGAAGAGATGGCTAGAGATGGCTAGGCTGCAGCTAGCCTATGTTTGTGCTCAACATGAGTTAATTCACTTGAAAGCAAGTAATTTGAGTATGAAGTCAAGTATACAGTGGGCAGAGGAGAATCTTCATAGCCTCACTAGCAAGGTAAATATAAGAAATGAGACTGGATTCGTACAGTAATCATTGTTTATAAGGGAAGATATGTTAAAATATTTCAGAAAGGGGGTCGAAACAAGTACATTTGTAACAATGTAACATAAGTTATTTTCTTACCTTCTGTTTATTCATTGCTTAGTTTTGATGTATTTCAGTGTTTCGTACAAATAGATCTTCATATCAGTAGAGGGCAAAAATAGTAATTATAACCCAATCACATTAGCTAATTTTAAACAAAAGTACTTTTTCTGAAATTGAAATTCGTGTTGGTTCAGACTCAGAGGACACTGAAATTCCCTCTTTTATGATGTATGGGTAAAGAGCCTTGTTGCTTTGTTACGGGTGTTCTGCCTTGTTTGGTGCTAATGAAGTCAGGGACCCAGTTCAATGGACTGAAACCCTGATTTTTTTGTTGAGAATGTACAGATGTAGTGCCCATATCCATCTGCACTCTTGGAAAGCTTGCAGTTTTGGTAATATAAGCACTACGTAATTGAGTGAAAATACAGCTGAAACTGAGTATCAGCACCAGGTGAGTTCGTATAACTGACACAAACGTGGGAATAATATATGAAGTTCGTCACTCTTTGCCAGTGCTAAAATCAGCTGACAGACTAGGAGCATAGCTACTGGGACTATTTTAGTTTTAAGAAAAACTTAAAATAGTGTACATTTGCATTCAGTTAGTAATGTGCTAATGATTTTTATTAAGTAAGACAAGCATGGCAAGGTGTCTGTTTTGGTAGCCATTATTGTATATATGTGGTAGTAATAGCGTTAAAACAGCAATTTACCTACTCTTTTCCTTTTTTTAAACTGTGATTTTGGCTTTTGTTAACATGAAATTAGTTTTTATTAGCATGTTATCTGATTAAAACGGAAAGTAAAAATAAGTTTAAAACTATTTCGACTTTATACTTAACGGCTTTAAACGTAATTGCTTTTTCTGTGTAGGCTCTTGGCAAAGATAATTTGGAAGCTAAAATTTCTAACTTGAATAGTGAGATTCTGAAACTTGAAGAACAAATCTCTCATATGAAAGATAAAAGTTTGCCTGCTGTGGTAAAAGAGAATGCCCAGTTATTGAATATGCCAGTTGTAAAGGGAGATTTTGATCTACAGATTGCTAAACAAGACTATTATACCGCAAGACAAGAGTTAGTTTTAAATCAGTTGATAAAGCAAAAGGCATCTTTTGAACTTCTACAATTATCATATGAAATTGAATTGAGAAAGCATTGGGACATATATCGTCAACTTGAAAATTTGGTTCAAGAGCTTAGTCAAAGTAATACGATGCTCCACCAGCGATTAGAAATGCTAACAGACCCATCAGTATCTCAGCAGATAAATCCAAGGAATACCATTGATACCAAGGACTTTTCTACTCATAGGTATGCATCTTTGTTTCTTTAGTAATTGGTTTTTTTTGTTTTTTTGCTTTTGTAAAATACTGTAGAGAGTTTGAACTAATATTGTGGAAGTTTAAAACATTCTTTGTTCTCTATTTTTGGCCTTCTGTTCTCTTCTTTCACTTTTCTTGCATATGACTCTTTCCTTTTGAATATCTTGCTCCCTTTTCTGTTCTAGGTATATCTGGATGTAGCTGTTTTAGAGCTGAGGTGGATGGGTTGGTGGAGTGAATGTATACAAGGTCTTATTCACCTTTGGGCACCATTATTTAGATACTTTGAGATTGACGCAGGAGTTTTAACTGCAGGGATTTTGAATACGTTTTGCTAGGCAGAGAACTGATTGCATTCAGAGAAGGTGTCGGCGGAGAGATGGGAAAACGGACTGTGTTTCTTGTCAGGTGAATCAGTGAGAATGAATGCTTGCTCCCAACCTCTTCTGGATATCTAAGCAATTGATGGTATGGGAATACTAAAATTGGAGGACTAAAGTAGTCAAAGGCCTCAAAAATCTGGATCCTGCTCCTGATTTTTCTCTAGTGCTAGAGGAAAATCATCTAATCTTTTTGTTTTGGTTTTGTTTTTTAAGATTTTACTTATTTATTTGAGAGAGGGAGAGAGCGAGCACGAACAGGGGGAGGGGCAGAGGGAGAAGCAGACTCCCTGCTGAGCAGGGAGTCCAACGTGGAGCCCTATATGGGGCTGTATCCCAGGACCCTGGGATCAGGACCTGAGCCAAAGGCAGACACTTAACCGACTGAGCCACCCAGGCGCCCCTCCTTTTTTTTTTTTATTAATGAGGTGAGGGGCATGGAAAGGGGGACAGTGACATCATGAGCTAAGAATGGTTCCCCCCCTGAAATTGTGTAGTTATGTCCCACAAGAACAAAATTGGCAGCCTTGGACTTGAACCAGTTTTATGAATTCTTGCAAATTGTTAAAATAATTAAGATAATTAAAAATGTATATATTTTTGAAATAGAAGAAAAAGAACAAACCCTTTTTGTCAGAAATGTGTAGAAAATGCTGCCTCACATTTTTCCATTTGTTCCAAGGGATTTTCTGCCATTAATATTTGAAGTGTTAAAGTGGCCTCATAGCTCATTAGGAATTTAATTCGACAATCAAATATGGATAAGACTGGAGTAGCAAGTTTATTATATTTTTAGCTCTTTATTGTTTTCATTTCTTTTTACATTTTATACTTTATTTTCAGTTTTTCTCTTTTAAAATCTCTACCATCCTGTAACGATAGGTATGTGACATGAAAAATGTAGTCTCAGAGGTTGACTTGACCCAGGTCTCAAAAGACAGCCAGAACTCAGACCTGGGTCTTCTGTTTCAAGCTCGTTGCTATTTCTACTATATCATACTTGTATTCTGTGAAAGAAATGTTTTCTTGGGCAGTATCTCTGAAACATACTTTGAAGTAGGATAATGGCAGTTAAAAGTCAAAAAATATATTCAAAACTTGGGGGATGAGAAAGTAGAAGCAGATACAGTAATTACAATATGTATTTCTGTAATGAGATAGTATTTTATTTTTCTTACATATATAATTTAAAGATTTTATTTATTTGAGAGCGAGAACGTGAGAGAGAGAAAGAGAGAGCATGAGCCAGGGGGTAGAAGGAGAAGCAGACTCCCTGCTGAGCAGGGAGCCTGATGGGGAACTGGATCCCAGCACCTTGGGATCATGACCTGAACTGAAGGCAGATGCTTAACCAACTGAGCCACCCAGGTGCCCTGTAATGAGAAAGTATTTTAGCTGGAATGTTTTTGGTTGCTTGATTTAGCAGCAGATTAATTTTTTTCCAGGTTAATATTTTTAATCTGTTATATATCCCCAAAGATGCCCAATACAGTGACTTATAATTTTGAAAATTGTACTGATTTGAGAATTTTCTCCTGTAATTTTTATTTTCACAATTTAGGCTCTATCAACTTTTAGAAGGAGAGAATAAGAAAAAAGAATTATTTATAACCCATGGAAACCTGGAGGAAGTGGCTGAGAAATTAAAAAAGGATGTTTCTTTAGTACAAGATCAGTTGGCAGTATCTATTCAAGAACATTCTTTCTTTCTGTCCAAACTGAATAATGATGTGGACATGCTTTGTGATACTTTGTATCAAGGAGGAAATCACCTTTTGCTTAGTGATCAGGTGAGTGCTGGCCACAGTAACTGAAAACGCTGTAAAAAAATGTTGTAAAAGATAGTAAAGAAAATGTTAACACGAGGAAAATACTACCCCAAATGCTATTGCCCTACTGTAAAATTTATTTTTTTTATATCCCAGTTTTTGTTCACATAGAAGTATATTTTTCGGATGGTTTTGACCAATGTCAACAGAATTTTAAGAACTTACAAAATATTTCAGACATAAAAGGATATGTAATGTTTACACTAAGAATTTAAAGAAAAATCAGACTACCCCTGTATTTTACCTGTCTCAGCAAATAGAGGGCTATTATCTTTAAAGTGTTCTGTGACAGCTTGCTTCTACCAATAGCATTTCCTTTCCTTCATCACTTAATTTTATCGTTTGCTTGCCTTTATTTATACTTTTATTACACATATATATTCCTAGATTGTATATATATTTTTTTTTAATTTTATTTATTTGAGAGAGAGTGAGCATGGGCACGAGTGGGGGTAGGGGCAGAGGGACAAGCAGGCACCCTGCTGAACAGGGAGCCTGGGCATGGGGCTCGATCCCAGAAACCTGGGATCATGACCTGAGCCGAAGTCAGACACTTAACTGACTGAGCCACCAGATGCCCTGCTAGACTGTATATTGTTTAATTTATATGTTTTTGAAGTTTATGTATGTGGTTTCTTACATAAATTCTTTACTAACTTGTTTGTTAATATTAAGATACTGAGATTCATTCATGTTGCCATATGTAAAGCTCTAGCTCATTTGTAGTTTTCTTTTTGTTTTTGGTTCTTTTTTTTACTTATTTATTTGAGAGCGAGAGCATGCGCACACAGCAGGGAGGAGCAGAGGGAGAGGGAGAGAATCTCAAGCCGACTCCGGCAGAGCTCGGAGCCCAGCTTGGGGCTCGATCTCACAACCCATGAGATCATGGCTTGAGCCGAAATCATGAGTCCAATGCTTAACCGACTGAGCCACCCAGGCACCCCTATGGTTTTCTCTTTTATATTGTTAGTATTCCATTTTATGAAATCCCAGTTTAGTTATCTGTTATGTTGACAGACATCTAAGTTACTTTCAGTTTTTGCTATTTTGGATTATATTGCTGCGGACGGTCTTACTCTATGTCTCACAGTTGTACATGTGTGTGCACATGCACACTCACTCTCAGTGAGGAGTAGAATTGCTGTATCACAGATTCAGTTTTCAGGGTACATCAAATTGTTTTCCGAAGTGGTCGTACCATATTACATCAGGCAGCTGATTCTCCAGTGTCATATGATATGATCAGGTCTTCATCAGTAGGACATTCAATTTAGTTGGCTTTGCAGGAAGGGAGAATGGATTTGCATCACTGCATGCATTCATATTCTGTTTCTTGGTGCCTTTGACGCCAGTGGTCTCTATTGTAACAACATAGCCATCCCATTATCTGGAGCAGAGACTCATGAGCACAAACCACCTTGGGACCACCCTGCTGCAGTAGGAAAACCTTAACTTGTTTTCCTTAACTTCCCGCTGAGGAGGGAGCCCGATGTGGGACTCAATCCCAGGACTCTGGGATCAGGACCTGAGCCGAAAGCAGACGCTTAACCATCTGAGCCACCCAGGCGCCCTTATGTGTGATGTGAGGTAGAGTTCTAGTTTTATTATTTTTTATTTTTTTCCCTAAAAACAAATGGTCCCATCAACCTTTTATTGAGGCGTACAATAAAAATAAAATCCCTCTTTGTCTGGTGAAGGGAGCTTCTTATTATGAAATAAATGATCCTTAAGTGCTTTTTGCCTTCATGTTTTTTGTGTTAGATACTGTGGGCAGGACTAGTTAAGTCTAACTAGTCTTTGGAGGACCCAGGTGATTCCTGTCTGGCCTGTAATTCTATCCAGGGGCTCTTCCATTTCTGGGCCATTCTGATCTTAAGATTGCTGGTGTCCTGTGAGTCCTTGGCTTATTATGAAGAAGGTCTCCCATTTGACTTCCCACTTTCTGTGGACTTTGGACTTTGATTTTTCTCCCACTCATCTTGTGAGTCTCAAGAATCCTAGGTTCTAATTTTCCAAGATTGGCAGTTGCCCTAGAGTAAAGCTGTTTCTGGACTGCCTTACCAATCTGGGATGTCTTATGGACTTAAAGTTCCTTTTAATGTCTTGTTACCTTTTTATTGCTTTTAGGAAGCTTTTGTTTTGCTTGATTTTTAAAAATATTTCATTTAGCCTTTTATATTTTTTTCTTATGGAAGGATTGATTTGGATAACTAGCCTACCTTTCCTTGGAACAGGAATGCTTGTAATTCGTTTTTTTAAATAATATTTTTATTGTGGTGAAATGTAGAAAATGTAAAATTATAGTTTTAACCATTTTTAAGTGTATAATTCAGGAGCATTAAGTACAAAAGTACATTCATATATTGTGCAACCATGACCACTATACATTTCCAGAGCCTTTTCACCATCCCAAATAGAAACATCAAACAATAAACAGTACTTTTTCTCTCCTTCCTCCCCAGCCCCTGATAACTTCCTTCCTCCCTCCCTCCCTCCCTCCCTTTATTCATTTATTTATTTGACAGAAATAGAGACAGTGAGAGCAGGAACACAAGCAGTGGGAGAGGGAGAGTTAGAGGGAGAAGCAGGCTTCCCGCGGAGCAGGGATCCCGGCGGGGCTCAATCCCAGGACCCTGGGATCATGACCTGAGCCGAAGGCAGACACTTAATGACTGAGCCACCCAGGCGCCCCGCCCCCGATAACTTCTATTCCGCTTTCTGTCTCAGTGAATTTGCCTACTCTAGGTACCTAATATAAGTGAAATCCTACAACATTTGTATGATTAGGTTTTATCCGTGTTGTAGGATGTGTCAGAATTTTATTCCTTTTTATGGCTGATACCCCATTGTGTGCATGTAGTACATTTTGTTTATCTGTTTGTCTGTTGATGGTCACTTGGATTGTTTCCACCTTTCGGCTGTTGTGAATAATGCTGCTGTGAACGTTGGTGTACAGGTATCTGAGTCCCTGTTTTTGTTTCTTTTGGGTATATACCTAGGAGTGGAATTGCTGGATCATGTGGTAATTCTATGTTTAACTTTCTGAGGAACTGCCTAACTTACACAGCAGCCGCACCATTTTATATTCTCACCTACAGTGCGCAGGGTTCCAGTTTCTCCATATCCTTGCCTACACTTGTCATTTTCCTTTTTTAAAAAATATATAATCGCCATCCTAATAGCCTGAATTGATTATGATTAAGTTTTTAAAAATCTATTACTGATTTTGTCTCCTAGATCTATCAATTTTATAAAAACCTCCTATGATGGCAGCTTTGAAGGTCTGTTAGTTTTTTCTTTATATTTGAGTCTGTTTTATAAGTTACAGTTGACCCTTGAACAGCATGGTTTTGAACTGCATGGGTCCACTTGTATGCAAACTTTTTTCAATAAATAAATACAGTGCAGTACAATAAATGTATTTTCTCATGATTTTCTTAACATTTTTTTTCTAGCTTTATTATAAGATTATAGTACACATAACATATGATATACAGAATATATGTTTTTCAGCTGTATGTCAACAGTAGGCTACCAGTAGTTAAGTTTTGGGGAAGTCAAAATTTATACACAAATTTTCAACTCCACAGGAAGCCGATGCCCTAAACCTCCCCCCCACCCCGAGTCCCGCATTGTTCAAGGTTCAGCTGTATATCTAAGTTTCAAATTGTGGTGAATTATTCTAGTGGTTTGAATTGCAGTGAATTGAACTATTTAGTATTACATAATGATCTTCTCTGTTCTTACTGTACTTCTTGTCTTAACATTCTTTTTTCTGATGTTAGTATTTCTATGCCATCTTTCTTTTGGTTAGTATTTGAAGGTGTATGTTTTTCACCTTTACTTACACATCTTTTTTATTCTTCCTTTTTACTTAGCATTATGAAATAAACATTTTCACTCTGACTAATTTTAATTATTAATGTTACAGTAATTTCTGTAACCAGTCCACCATTGTTGAATATTTTTTGATAGTCTTCATTTTTTTTTTTGTTTGCTCTTGAACGATATCATGTACATCTTATGTTACAGCTTTTTGTTGTTAAATACTTTAATTTGGATGAATTCTTGGAAGTAGGATTATTGGGTTTCTTAGGTATGTACTTTTTTTTTTTGGCCTTTGATGCTGTCATATTGCTTTTCCAAGCAGTCACACCTATTTTCATTGCTACCAGCACTATTTAAATGTCTACTAGACACCATCGATCATATGGTACACCATCATCTTGTGAATTGCTAAGAAGAAAAACTTTCTCTGTTAAATTGGCATGATTTTTTTTTAAGATTTTATTTATTTATTGGAGAGAGCGCATGAGAGAAAGCTAGAGAGAGCACTAGCAGGGGAAGGGGCAGGGGGAGAAGCAGGCTCCCCACTGAGCAGGGAGCCAGACGCGGGACTCGATCCTAGGACCCTGGGCGGGATCACTACCTGAGCTGAAGGCAGATGCCTAACCCACTGAGGCACCCAGGCGCCCCAGCACAATACTTTATTTAGAATTTTTATTGAATACTTACCAGAAGATATCTTTTAGGTGCAGATAGACAGATTTTTATTATATCACTCCGGCATATACACATTAAATGAAATATACACAGTTAAAATCATTAGGGTATTTCAAAGTTTCACACTTAACATGCAGTTGTTTTTTTAAGACTTTATTTATTTGACGGAAAGAGCACAAGCAGAGGGAGCGGCAGGCAGAGGGAGAGAGAGAAGCAGACTCCCCACTAAGCAGAGCGCCCGATGCGGGGCTCGATCCCAGGGTCCCGGGATCATGACCTGAGCCGAGGGCAGATGCCCAACCACTGAGCCACCCAGGCGCCCCTTCTGTGTTATTTTTTGACTCAAAGTTGTTGTCTTTATTTTTCTACACTATACATTGAGAATGTTGGTGATAGCAAAAAAACTAATAGCCCAATTAAAAAATGGGCTAAAGGCTTGAATAGACTTTTCTCCAAAGAAGACATACAAATGGCCAACAGGTATATGGATAGTTGCTCAGTGTCACTCATCATCAGGGAAATGCACATCAAAACCACAATGAGATATCTCCTTACACCTGTTAAGAGTGGCTAGTAGCAAAACAAAATCAGGGGCACGTGGGTGGTTCAGTCTGTTAAGTGTCTGACTCTTGGTTTCGGTTTAGGTCATGATCTCATGGGTCCTGGGATCAAACCCTGGGTCTGCGTCAGGCTCTGCACTTAGCAGGGAGTCTGCTTGAGGATTCTCTCCTGCCCTCCCCCAACTCACGTGCTTATGCATGTGCATGTACTTTGTCTCTCTCAAATAAATCTTAAAAAACAAAAAAAGTGTTGGTGAGAATGTGGAGGAATTGGAACCCTTGTACCCTGCTGGTGGAAGTCCAAAATGGTACAGCTGCTGTGGAAAACAGTATGGAGTTTTCTCAAAAAAATTAATGATCCACATGATCCAGTAATTCCATTTCTGGATATTTAAACAAAAGAATTTAAATCAGGATCTTGAAGAATTATTAACAGTCCTACATCCATTGTAACTATTCCTAATAGCCAAGTTATGGAAACAACTTAAATGTCTACCAATGGAAGAATGGATAAAGAAGATGTGATATATACACACAAAGTAGTATTCAGCCTTAATAAAAAGAAATCTTGTAATGTGCGGCAACATGGATGAACCTTGAGGAAATTATACTGAGTGAAATAAACCAGGCACAAGGACAAATAATGTATGATTCCACTTACGGAGATATCTAAAATAGTCAAACTCAGAGACAGAGGGTAGAATGGTGGTTAGCAGGGATTGGAGAGGGGGGGAATTGGGTTAAATCAACAGATACAAAGTTTGTCATGTAAGGTGCATATGTTTTAGAGATACGCTGTACGTTGTGCCTGTAGTTAACAGTACTCTGTTGTACTCTTAGAAATCTGTTAAGGGGGGGTGCCTGGGTGGCTCAATCATTAAGCATCTGCCTTTGGCTCAGGTCGTGAACCCAGAGTCCTGGGATCGAGCCCCACATTGGGTTCCCTGCTCAGCGGAAAGCCTGCTTGTCCCTCTCCCACTCCCCCTGCTTGTGTTTGCTCTCTCGCTGTGTCTCTGTCAAATAAATAAAATCTTTAAAAAAAAAAAAAATCTTAAGGGGGAGATGTCATGTTAAGTGTTCTTACCACAGTAAAAAAAATTTTTTGATGTTGGTGATAAAGCATTTCTTATGAGTGGCTAATAATAATTACATGATGCTTTCAATTATAAAATGGTATGGGTTTCAGATATTTTAAAATGTGAAAGGTTGCATCCTAGAATCACTAAAGTATGGTGATTTCACTATAATCTTACTGGGTGTCATTTAATGTTTTTCCCTAACCCAGTGAAATATAAAAGTGCCATATGTATAAATTTTAGTTTTCATTTTTTGTTGTTAATAACAGAAGGATATTTTTCAATATCTGTAGGAATATTATTTTAGCAACTATTAAGATCTTTAGTACTGAAATTGAAGGTGAGATTGTAGTTTCTCATTCAGGTTTACCAAGTTTTTCCTCAAGAGGAAACCACTTAATATAGGTATTACTTGATTTTGTTGAAGTGTCATTGAAGTACTGCTTTCTGGAACTGGCATTTATGACAGGTGTAAAGCAGTCATTCTTGAACTTATTAGAATCACCAGGGAGCCTGTTGGAGTTTGAGTAATTTAGTGTGCAGTAGGGTACAGGAGTATGTGTTCATAACAAGTACCCCAGGTGATTATCATGCTCATGGACCATGCTGAGAGGGTGCAGAAGGTTGAGATAGAGCTATAGGTTTTCTCTTTGGTGATAGTGGCTGGAAATTTACAGTAGAGTAAAAACCCATGGAAACTTGTTAATAAACAGCTTTTAATGTTAGGAAGTGAGGCATTTCATTTTATTAAATGTGAAGGGCTGGCATATCTAGGTTCTTTTTATTTTTATTTTTTTAAAGATTTTTTTCATTTGATACAGCATGAGCATGGGGGAGGGAGAGGGAGAAGCAGACTCCCTGCTGAGCAGGGAGCCTGACGAGGGGCTAGATCCCAGGACCCAGAGATCATGACCTGAGCCCTCGGGTCAGAACCATCTGAGCCACCCAGGCATCCCCCCCCCTTTTTTTTAAAGATTTTATTTATTTGAGAGAAAGGGAGAGCAAGCACGAGTGGGGGCAGATGGAGAGGGAGAAGCAGTGGCGTGTCTAGGTTCTTGAGCAGGAGGATTACATGGTAAGTTGGGATTGTTGAATGTTATATGTAATTCTATTTTCTATAACACTGTGAAAAAAGAAAAATGGGGATTTCTGTTGAGGTGATTCTTTTTTATTGGTAATTGCTTCATTTCAAGGCTTTCTCAGTACCGCTCAGACAGAGATTAGGCTAAAACAAAGTTTGATGGATCGAATGGAATATAAGCTCCATAAAGGAGATGGTGTTTGTTCTTATATCTGTAGTCTCTAAAACAGTGCTTGGCATAGGGTAGACATTTAGTAATATTTGTTGAATGTATGAATATACATTATAGTTTATATATCAAGTATTCTTTAGGAAGTAGCAGTTTGCTTTGAATCCCTTAAAATTATCTATTGAAAGCTGTTGTAATTGACTTCACATAGAATTTATATTAAACCTACTGTGGATTTTTAATTGAGGTTCATTTATCATTAAAATCATGGGAATAATTATTACATCATTTGGATTTTTTTTAAGATTTTATTTATTTGAGAGAGGGAGGGAGGGAGCACAAGCAGGGAGGAGGGGGAGAGGGAGAAGCAGACTCCCTGCTGAGCAGGGAACCTGACTCAGGGCTTCATCCCAGGAACCGCCCGCCCCGAGATCATGACCTGAGCCAAAGGCAGATGCTTAACCGACTGAGCCACCCAGGCACCCCTATCATTTGGATTCTTTGCGTGTAAATTACATCTTAAATTTATAATTACTGTTACAAATAGAGCTTTTGTAGTAAAAGCATTTTTATTTTCCTTTTAGGAGTTAACAGAGCAGTTTCATCAAGTTGAATCCCAACTGAATAAGCTAAATCATCTTCTTACTGATATTCTTGCTGATGTGAAGACAAAAAGAAAAATTTTGGCATCTAATAAACTGCATCAAGTGGAAAGAGAATTATATGTATATTTTTTAAAAGATGAAGATTATCTGAAAGATATTGTGGAGAATTTAGAAAACCAATCAAAGATGAAGGCCGTTGGTCTTGAAGATTGAAAATTACTAAAAACTGAATCTTTACTACATATGCTGTTTTAATATTTTATATATTAGGAAAATATAGCTAATAAACCCTACTAAAATTTTAAATTTGAGGCCCATGGAACATCTCATTTAATTCATTCAAGTATTAACATCGTTTGGTTTTTTCCTTATATAGTATGTTCAAAGTACCGGCGGTGCTTTTTATGACTTAACCATTTGCTTGGTGGCACTTAGTTCAGATAACCTCTTACTTACAGGGAAAAAGCATTATTATATAATGCAAATATTTCTTGATAGAATTAGTTCTAGCTCTCCTTTACTGTTTTTTTTAGAAATAGAAATTTTCTGCTGTTAAATATTTTAAACTCTTGTAGAACCTTGAATCAGCATTGTTAAACCTGTGGACCCTAGTATACGGAATAGGCAAGTCCCCTCATATTTGGGTATAAAGTAAAACTCAGCCACTCAAACTGTGTAATTCCTTAATTCCCTGCTATAGACTTTGAGACTCGACTCCTGTTTGCATCCCAAAGAATGTCAGGTGTCCTTCGACCATTGTTCATTTTAGCAGCTGGGTCCTGGGGGCTCAAAATTTCTGCAGGACAGATCTTAGCGGTTTTGGACTTCAGTGTGACTTACACATTTTGAAAATACTGTACAAGTGGTTTCTCAGAGGATGTATAATGCTATTTTAATCGGTTTGTCTGGAGTGAAAATAGTTAAGTGTTAGATTGTATTAGTTGGGATACAGATGTATTCTTTGGACAATTAGAAATTATTTTGAATGGTATGAAATCATTTGAAGTAGTTTATTTATCAGTTGTGACATCAAATGCTTCTTGAGTGCTTGATTTGTATGTGGCCTGTGGTATATATTATGTAAGCTTAACAGAGGAAGAAGGTAGAGCTATTACCTTCAAGAATATTCCTAAAAAAAAAAAAAAAAGAATATTCCTGTTCCAGAATATCTTGCCTTTTTAATATGGAATGCCAGTCTAAAAGCCATGCATTTTAGGTGGTCCTTGTGGAATTCTTTAGCTATGATCATCAGAACATGGGTATGCTTAGGTGATAAGTCTTGATAATTTTTATAATCTGTTGAACGAAAATATCTTGCCAATTATAGTATTTGTACCTTATTTAAAAATTTATATTAAGTAGATCTAAATGTGCACAAAAAATTTGTAACAAATTTTGTCTTAAGATTTTGGTATTAGCTCCTCATGGGTGACTTTTGTTCCTTTTTAAATTTTTTTTCCTATTCTACAGTGGAATAGAGAATTTATTTCAAATTTTTCTTTTATCCAGTAATGTGGAAAAATATGTCACCGGTTTCCTGGCTCATGGAACAGCAAATTCTGTTTAGATTTGTACCAAATATGATGTATGACCAGCTACTTGATGATTTGTACTGTCCCTTCCAGACCTTTACCCACTCAGCCCAGGGGCCAGGCGAGCTGAGCAGTATAACTGAAAAGATGCCAGGTTTTATGTCTATCATAATTACCCAAGTCCATTAAAAATAATTTTTCTGTAATTAGATTTGTATATTTGAAGATTTTAACAGCCATTGGTTTCAGACCTCAGGAAGTATTTGAATAGATTGCTCGCTTCAAAATTGGTTAGCTAGAAATGTGTTCTTTGTTCCCTGTTTACCAGGATATTACAGTTGAGCCTCTAACCATCTTGCTCGCTTCTTACTATTGAATCGGTAATTATGGAGGCAACTGCTACCTATTTTCTGTGGTCATTAAAAGAATAATTTGTATGAATGCCTCTGGCTGTAACATTTTCAAATAACGTGTTTCTTATTTTGAAGTCTCAAAATTAATATGTGGATGTTATGTTTATCTTATGTTTAGGATTTATGAAAATGGAAAATTATGAGGCATTTCTAGGCTTTGATCTCTGTAAGGTACCCCTGTCCAGTGCTGCACAGAAGATTATGTCTGCTGTGCACTCGGGTGATTCAGTGGAGTCTAAGAACTGGAGAGAGAGTGAAAAGAGTGAGTAATTTTTATATAAGCATCTTTCTGTCTTTTGTTACCTTGAATGTTAATTATTTCTTAAGGTTTAACAATGAAACAGAATCATTCTCAGGAACCTTCCATTGTGTAGGGAGGTTCTTGCTACAGACAAATGGAGTCCGGCTCCCCTTGGTTTATTCTCATTCAGTGATGACTGAGCTTTTGCTCACTAGATTGCACGTTCTCTCGGCCCTTACTGCTTTCAAATGTAACACTCTCCTCCTTGTTCCAGGCTTTTCTATCCGAGAGTTCCTGAGACTCTGCTTCAACTGTTGAAGTAACCTCAGAGAGCTGGGCTCTTTCACAGTGCCCCTCGCTTCAGCCTTAGCGCTTGGGTCTTCGGACACACAGGGACGTAGTACTTCTTTGCTGTGTGTGGTGGATGGGAGAAGGGTGTTTGACGGCGTGTGTCTTAGCTGCCCGAGAGATGTGAGCTCTCAGGCGTGTGTGTTTATGATGTGATGTCACGCAGCAGCGGTGGCATGGGGGCACAAGTGTGACTGAGACATTCGGAACGCCGGTTCTTTGTTTGACTAGCAAAGCAGTTTGTTGTTTGTGTCTTAATATTTAAGTCTGGGCTAATAATTTGTCGTTTCTTTTCTATAGAGTAAGTTATACGTGAGATGTAATTGTGATGAAGTAATTGAGAGCATTGACAAATAGTGCAAAAGCTATGTAAGTGCAGTTCTTGATTAGGATACAGTAGCACCAAACATTTCAATCTGCTCATATTTAGGAATCTGTTGCTCGTGAGCCTCATTATAGAAAGTCACTGATAAATGAACTGCTGGCAAGTTTTGTGTATGGACCACAGACCTAGAAGTTGAAAATGTTTTGGGGAGTGAGGGGTGGATAGTAAAGAAAATAAATATTTAAACATCAGAGAGCTTTCTCCTTTATTCTGTATACTTTCTAAAATAGCAGTGTGCACTTGACAGAAGTGGAAATGTACTTCCCTTTAAAAACTGATAGGAATAAAAAAAAATACAGGAATAGTGAAATGCCTCTGGTAGCTTCAGTGTGAGTCTTGAGAAAGATTTATGGCCATCAGCCCATCTTGTGAACTCTTTTGTCATGCTCTTCAAATACCCTATAAAATTCTAGTTTTCATAAATTTGTTGAGAGGTAATGGGAAAAGATAATATTTTTCTGTCAAGTGTTACTGGATTTGGAAAAATAGAGGAATTTTCACAAAGATTCTGTATTGTCTTTTGCTGCACAGCACTGTTACTGCAAACTTAGCGACTTAAAAAAGGCACATTTGTTATGTCCCAGTTTCTGTGGGTCAGGAGTCTGGGCACAATTTGGCTTCATCCTTTGCTGGACTACGATGCGGATGTGTCAACCAGGGCTCGGGTCTCATCTGAAGCCCGAATGGGGAGGCATTTGCTTCCAGTTCACAGGGTTGTTGGCAGATTCAGTTCCCTGTAGGCTCTTGGGCCGAGAGCCTCCCCAGCTCTTGGCTGTAACACACCCTCCATTCCTTCCCACGTGGTTCTCCTGAGGCGCAGCTTCACGTGATGGCAGCTTTTCCTCTGGCAAGACTGACATCCTAGTCTTCTGCAACGTGATTGCGAACACCCTGTCACTGTTGCTGTACTCTGGGTGAGGAGTGAGCCAGTAAGTCCCACCCGCACTCAAGGGTGTGAGTACTAGGAGGCGGGGGTCCTGGGACCACCCTGGAGTCTGTCTGCTGGAGAGTCCCACCAGTTTTAGTTCTTATTTCATAGGGATTTGATTAAGTTGGGTTTCTGGTGGGTTATTGATGCATGATGTTGGACCTAAGATCTAGTTGCTTCCTGGACTCTAGTTATATGCTGAGCTGTTATTGTGTCAGACCCTTATCTCTTACAAGGAAAATACTATAAATCTGCATTTCATTTCTAAAGCCCATTTCGAACTAAATAAATACAAAAATTGAATTCCTAAATCAATGAGAATAACTACAAATATTTGTTATTACGAACAAGTAAAACCAAACAACATTAGTGTTATATGTCACTTCGGGGTCTAGGTGTCTTATGTGCTGGGCTGAGGGATGTCAAGATGCACACTCAATGGGCGCCTGGGTGGCTCAGATGGTTAAGCGTCTGCCTTCAGCTCAGGTCGTGATCCCAGAGTCCGGGGATCGAGTCCCGCATCAGGCTCCCTGCTCCGCGGGGGGCCTGCTTCTCCCTCTCCCTCTGCCTCTCTCTCTCTCTCTCTCTGACTCTCATGAATAAATAAATAAAACATTTAAAAAAAAAAAAAGATGCACACCCAGTAAGGGATGGACTTTGTATGTCGTCTTGCTGCAAGATTGATCGTTGTTTAAAAACCCTCTGCTGCGAAAACACAAAATATGCAAAAACTTAAACTACAGTTTAACGAATGAAGATAAAGAGGACCTCCGTTGTCATTGCATTCAGAACCTCGAAGTTTCCTTCTCAGTTAAAACTCTCTCCCTGCTCAAGGGGGGCATCATCCTGACTTGTGGCAGTCTCTTCTACTTCCTGACCACGGGCATTTTGTGTTGCTCCAGAGGCCTTTTGGGGCAGAGATTACTTGTATGCTGCACCAAAGTTTATCCTTCCCTTCATACTACATGGCTCAGTCTCCTTCAGTCAGGTGTGACCCGGGTTCCTGTCAGCGGGATGTGCGCTCAAGTGGCGTGTGCCATTTCCAGGGCAGGCCTCTTTCCTTCCCTCCAGTAGGAACCCTCCTTTTGAACTCTGCAAATGAAAACAGTGTCCTAGAGGATTGTACGACGTGTTGGAAGCACCCCAGTCCTGGAGAGGCTGCATGAAGGAAGCATGTCCAGCCAGTTGAGAACATGAAAGAGAAATAAACTTTGTTCTTCAAGCTGTTGTCTTGTTGGGTCTTTTGTGACTCTAGCTTAGCTTTGTACCTTAACCCATACACCTTTAAACTAGATTGAAAAGTGGGTTCATCTGACTTAAATATTCGTTGTCATTTGATGGTTCAGTAATGCTTTTGAAAGCCTTGGGTAAATACTGAGGGAGAAGGAGTTTGCAGGGTGGCTTTAGGGTTGCCAGCAGACTCAACGGCTCTGTAGAGGGTTATGCATAGGAGTCAGCACGTGCTATTAGAAGATACCTCTGTTTTGTCTGAGTAGCTATAGAAATCAAATAACACATTTGTCCAAATTATTTTTCATTTTAACAACTTAGATGTGAATGTGGTTTTCCAGTTAAAAATATGTATATACATATATATTTACAGACATTATAAAAAAAATACAGTTTGAGACCCCAAAGGTAAATATTTGTGAAAATCCAGTTCATTAATGGGAAGTGTGTCTTTATCCCACCATCCAGTAGAAATCTTCACGATTTCAAGGACATAACAAAACTAAAAGACCAAACAGATCTATCTTGATTCTGTTCATTCTAGTCAAGAGTATAATGGATAAACATGTTGTATTATTTTTATTTCTATTAAATAAACATAAAATCCTTACATCCAGTCACTTGGCAAGCCTGCCAGCTGTTGGGTTTCAGACCCCACTGTCCTCATACAAGCCTGCATTTCTCCTCACGTGGATTTTGGCAGTGGCTTCCTGATTGTTCACCTTCATTATTGCCCCTTTGTCTTGCCCTCATGCCTTCGCTAGAACTACCTCAGCTCCTGTCCTTGCCCTCTGCAGAATTCACCTATGGAAACATCCCATTCACTCTGAGGGACCCCCGCCTGCCCTGTTCAGTCTTCTGCCCCCCACCATTCCTCTCTTACTTTACACCCCATTCAGATTTGACTGCAACTTCCAAACACATGACATTTTCATTTACTTACCCTTTTCTTTCTCTTCCACTCAACTGAGTGGTGAAAGCAGCATTTTACAAGGTCCTGCTCAAAATACTTTTTTTTGGGGCGCCTGGGTGGCTCAGTTGGTTAAGTGTCTGCCTTCAGCTCAGGTCGTGATCCCAGGGTCCTGGGATTGAACCCCTTGTCTTTTCAGGCTCCCTGCTTAGCGGGGAGCCTGTTTCTCCCCCTCTCACTGACCCACCCACCCTGCTCGTGCTCTCTCTACTTTTTTTTAAAGACTATTAGAGCACGAGTGTGGGGTGGGGCAGAGGGAGAGGGGCAGCAGACCCCCCCACCCCCCACTGAGTGTGGGAGCCCAATGTGGGACTCCATCTCAGGACCCCCAGAACATGACCTGAGCCAAAATCGAGTCGGACACCCAACTGAGCCACCCAGGTGCCCCTTGCTCAAAATACTTCTGCTACCAGCGTGCCTTACTGGATTCATTTGCAGCTCAGTTGAGCGTGCTGTGAGGTACTTCTGGTTGTTTGTATGACGCTGTAACTGTTGGTGTGCTTTGAGCTCTCTGAGGCGAGGTATGCTGTTCTCTCCTTGAATTCGGCCACAGGTGGACTCACCTGTGGATTCTCCCACTGATTTGTAAGAGCTTTCTACACACAATACATATATGTGAAGGACTTTTTTTTTTTTTTTTAAAGATTTTATTTACTTGACAGAGAACACAAGCAGGGGGAGCGGGAGAAGGAGAAGCAGGCTCCCTGCTGGATCCCAGGACTCCAAGATCATGACCTGAGCCAAAGGCAGACACTTAACAACTGAGCCACCTAGGCGCCCTGTGAAGGACTTGTCTATTATATATGTTGTAAATATTTTCCTCAATATTTTGGGGAGGTCTCTTTTTTTGGTAATACTTAGGAAATTCTTTTAAAGCCAAAAACATAGAGTTCATAATCCCACATTTAGGGGCGCCTGGGTGGCTCAGTCGTTAAGCGTCTGCCTTTGGCTCAGGTCATGATCCCAGGGTCCTGGGATCGAGCCCCACATCGGGCTCCATGCTCCATGGGAAGCCTGCTTCTCCCTCTCCCACTCCCGCTGCTTGTGTTCCTGCTCTCACTCTCTGTCAAATAAATAAATAAAATCTTTAAAAAAAAACCACATTTAAAAATATTTTCTTACATGCTTATATACCCACAGGCACGTGGTGAAAGGGTTCATCTGCACATTGTTTTCTTGGTTCAGCCTTTTGCTTTGTTGAACCCTCTCTCCTTGTTGCTAACCAAGCTGGTAACAAACAGTATGTCCCTTTTGTGTTTTTGTCCCATTTCTTTCTGTGATTGTAATTCTAGCTCGTATGTGTGGCTGTGCTGTGCCATCCAGACCCTCCCTGCTTCCAGTGGGATTGGCTGAGGCCTTCCTTGTGACGGTACCACAGTGGAGCCTCCCCTTCACTCAGTCCTTGGGTCCCCCCATAAGTTTCCTGTGGGCGAAGCTCAGTCTGGTTCCCAGGAACCAGATCTGCTGCAGTTGGTGCCAGGAGTGGTCTGAGAGGGCACACGTGGCGTTTTGGAGTTTGGTCAGCCTTAGGCAGACGCACTGATGACCTTCACAGGTGGTAGGCAGAATAGGACTGATAGCAGTGAGTTCCAGCTTGGACTGGGGGTGGGTGGTGTGGCATACCAGTGGAAGCCGCTGCCCTGGCTGCTGGGATTTACTGGGTATTTGAAAAGTACGGGGCAGTGGCAAACAATGGAATTGGCAGCTGTGGCTAGGAATAATAAGTCCTTTGGAAAAAGACATGGGGTGAGGGTGGTTAATTAGCGTTTAAAGGCTAAATGTGGTAACCAGAGGTCTTCCCTGGTAGCGTAAAAAGAGACCAATCACAGCCACAGACCAGTGCTTAGTCCTGAGACTGGAGAGCTCTAGAGAAGGTTGGCTTCTCAGCCGAGGCAGGTGTGCTACCTCAAGGTCAGGGCCTTGATCAGAAGGGGACCAGACCCTGAGATCTGGCATGGGATTACCTGATTGGCACATTCAAATCCTGAATCCCAGATGCCTCTGGGACCTGCAGAAGTGGCTACTTCTCTGTTAAAAGCTAGTGTCCCATCCTGCCATTACTGAAGACCATGCAGGATGCTTTTTCCAGAAGGAGGAACTTCTGCCTCTTTCCGTCCTGGCCATTAAGTCAACAGCCTCACCAAGAAGTAGTGGGCCTGTTGAGGAAGCCTGTAAGACATGCACCAGTCAGGTGAAACAAACCGTAGGAAATTTGAACAGGGAAAGGTACTGCATGTTAGCTAGTAAGGGGATTAGCTACCAAGGAGTAAAGAATAAACACAGTAAAGGCAGACGCAGAGCAGCTCCCTGAGGTAGAGTGTTGAAGGAATAAACAGAATGACTTGGCTAGCCTGTCACCTGCTGTCCCAGTACAAGCACCTGGGGCTCTTTAGTGGAGTGGCCATGGGCTGGGGTGAAGACCACACGTGGACCCAACCACATGCACACCCACTCACCAGGGCTGATCTAGTTACTGCCTCTGCTGAGTGTCCAGGCTTCCAACAGCAGACCAAACGCCGAGACCCTAGTAATACCATCCTTTGAGGAAACAGTCACTTGGTCACAAGTTGACGACACTGAACCCCTCGTTCCCCTAAAGGTGCAGTGACCTATCTTGATTGGAATTGACACGTTCCAGGCCTGGCTTTCCCTTTCCCGTTTGTAGGGCTTCAGTGATCCACTGAGAGTACCACAAGCATTGCATTGGACGTAGGGACACACTCTACAGGAAGGGAGCTAAAGCAGGCACGTGATTATGGGACCCAAGGGTTCCCGCAGCCACACACCCAGCAACACCACCCCGACAGAGGAATGGCCTGTAGCAGGTGCAGCTTGCACCAGCGTGGAGGAGCCACCTCCAGGTTGCGGTGTCCCCAGTATGTACAATTAAGGGGTCTAAAACCAAAAGGGGGATGTGGGAGTGGTCCTGCTTATCGTCACTCCCAGTGTTCCAGTTGGTAAATCTGTCTCTCCCCCAACACTTCTGGGTTCTGCAGAATGAGTCTTGACTGACAAAGGGGAAGCCCACCGGGGGCATGGGAAGAATACCATTTAATTTGAAGCTGCAGCTGCTGCCCTGTCCTTTCAATAGCCTTATGCCAAGGGACTGGCAGGCACGGCATGTAATCTGCATCCTGCTTGGGATGCGTCCTGGTCATCAGAAGTCAGGGCTGTTACATGATGGTGTAGGGAAGCATACATTTGGTACCTGGGTGATAGGACTAGTCACTGCTGTCCTCTGTCCAAATCTCATGGCCAGTGCAGTGACTATGGTGGCCAGGGGCTTACACCTCTCAGGGATGAGGGGTTTGGGTAACTCCATCAATCAGGTAAGCCACCTAGATCAGCAGAGGTGCTAAGCCAGGGTGAGGGGATTCTAGAATGTGCATTAGAGGAAGGACACGAATCTCATCTGTAGCTTTGAGACCAGCTGCAGTGACCAGGGGATGCAGTTCATCCCATTAACTTCCTTTTAAAAGCTGCTTCCAGCAAGAGGCCCACCAGAATCCTGAAGGGGCTACTTTCCGAAACGTATCTGCAGCAAGTGGCTGGGAGCAATGCAGTGTAGTGCCCAGCAGCAAAGGACTGCAGTGAGCCCTGTGGATGCCCAGGTTCCTGCCCTCGTACTAAGCCATTTGTCACCCCCACCTGTGGGAGTCTGTCTGCTCACCACACAGCCACTCCTGGTGGCTGCCTCAGCTGCACACTCCTTTCCCAGGGGCAGCCGATCCAATGACTGCTTGGTGCTGGCATATAACGTCCCGCTCCCTTGACCCAATGGGGGCTAACTCCACAGGCCTTCCAGTCCCAAGCAGGCCTTTGTAGTGACTGCATCGTGGTCTGGTCCTCCTGTCATGCTCCTGAACATGTTGATCCTGATAGCACTCCCGAGTAACATTTCCAAATGCAAACCACCTCAGAGTCAGCCTCCTGGGGACCAGGCCTGTGCCAGTAGGTGTGTATAACACACTCATATACAAAAATGGGGAGATTTGGTCATGGGTTGCAAAAATGAGATATTTTCACAGATTTCTGCATCTTCAAGGCAGCTAATAAAGCTCTTAGTCATTCATTTCAGTGGCTGTGTGCTTCGTGGTGTACATGTTACATAATTTATTCATCATCTCTTCTTGATTGGTATCTGCTTTGTTTTCAGTTCTTTGCCATAAAGCAATACTGCAATAGATGTCTTGGTTTAGACTTATTTACTGTTGCATATATGTCTAAGTGAGGTTGTTTGGTTAGATGATTTATACATTTATATCTCTGTTTTTATTGAGGTTACACACACACACACACTCTATACACAAAACACATATATTCTGAGTTTATAACTCAACATTTCACAAACTGAACACTCCTGTAACCTTCATGCAGATCAAGAAACAGAACATCAGCACCCTGGAAGCCCATCTTTGCTCCCTTTAGGGCAGTCCTCTTCTCAACTCTCAAGGGTGATGCTTGTATTTTTAATTTCAATAGGTGTTGACAGTTTACTTTCTAAGACGATTCTAGCTATTCACATTTTTACCAGCAATGCCTGAAACGACCTCTTCCTTCCACCTCCAGTTGTATTTAGTTTGCATTTCCCTGACCACTAGTGAGTTTGAGTATTATATCATGTTTATTTGCTTTTTGGATTTGCTAATTTGTGTACCACTTCTTCCTATCTTTTGCTCATTTTTTAAATTGAATTCTTTTTTTGCCAGTGTTTAAGGATTTGTTGTATGATACAGGTATTAGCCCTTTATCATTTTTGTTCCAAATGGTTTTCCCAGTGTTCTATTCTTCAGAAGCAGTGCTGCTATCCCTATTTATTAATCTGTTGTTTTCTACTGAATTGAGATGCCATCTTTGTTCTGTAGTAGAGTCTCATAAAGCCTTGGGTCAGTTTCTGGATTGTCTATTCTGTTCTAGAAATCTTTTGACTCTTCCTGTTCGAATACAATGTGGATTTGATTTGGTGGTTGAATAGTATGTTCTGATAATCCAGCAAGGCAAGGTTTTTATTGGTTTTTAACTTACCTTCTGTGTCTGTTTTCAGATATTTAGTATTTCATATGTACTTTGACATTTTTTCAATTAAAAGAACTCTGTAGGGTCTCTAAGTGGAATTGCATTAAATTTATTTTTGGAAGAATTGAACATTTTATGCATATCTGGATGCTATGTCCTTCCATTTGTATAGATCAAGTTTTATGCATTTTATGAGATTTTAAGTTTTCATCATTGAGTGCCTCGTGCCTTTTTGTTAAATTATCCTAAGTTCTTTCTACTGTAAAGATTTCCCCTGTTTGCATTCCTTGGTTGTTATTGTTGCTGTGGAGGGAACATAAATCACAGTGGTTATGAGCACAAACACCTGAGTCATGTTGCCTGGGGTTGAATGTGGGTTACATCACTTACTGTTCAGCCCAGGCTTATTAAAATTAAAACAAAATTTAAAAGAGAGGTTTGTATTAATGGTGTTTTACTGAACTTCTAATTGTTCCATTGCAATATTATGCATTATAGGAATTTCCGCAAACCTTTAATACTTTCAAGGTTTCCGTAAAATATTGAACTTGGGTTTTCGGACTCCAGTATTCAATGGAAATACCAACTAATACTTTCTAATAAACATGTCATGATTACGTGGATCTGTCTCCAGTTAATTTGAAGATACGTTACATAAATGTTTATTGCAATGGTAGTATACATTTTGGGTATGAATGTTTTTACAGTTTTACGTAAGTAAATAATGAGTAAGTAGCATGTTTGTAGAGGCCACTTTCAATGTTTAGCTAATTATATGACTTAGATTCAATGTTTCTTTAATGCCTCATGTTTTCTTTTTGTGTTTTTAAAAGCTGCAGAAGTGGTAAACAATTCCCGTATTAAGTATTCAGTACTTCTTGAAAATGGGAAGAATCAATCACTGGAAAAAAGGGTAAATCATTGCAAATATGATTAATTCAAAATAGATAACTTTCACTCGTTCAACACATACTTATTAAGTATCTACTGTATGCTAGGCACTGTGGCTACCACACTTCAGAAAATCAAGAACAGAGTTCTACTCCAGGAGCCTAGAGTTGAACTTGCTTGATGGGGGAGGGGAAGACAGAGAAGTGCCATGACCCTACAGGACAGTGCATTGGGTGCCATACATGGTAGGGGTCAGTCCCAATAACAGTAGGCGAGACCACTCACCCAGTTTTTGTGCTGTCTTGTTTCGTTTTTTTTCTGGGTGGTGGGGAGCGTAGTCTGGGAGTCTTCCTGAAGTGTGAAAATTATGCCTGAGTCGACATCTACAGGATGATTAGGAGCCCCACCTTTAAAGAATGGGGGAGGACTTGGCAGACGTGTTTAGGGAGAAAGCTGGGGCTCTGGGACAGCTGAAACACAGAACAGTTCCAGAAGGAAGGGGACACAACTCTCAGTGGGTGAGCTGTGTGGTGTGGGCCTGAGGGGGAGGGGAAAGATGTCATCTCACCAAAGACCTGGTAGGGGAGACACAGTGGTCAAGAGATTAGACTTGGGGGCAAAAACTACGTGTGTTCAAAGTCCAGCCTAACTCAGTCTAACTGAAACTCCCTGTAGTAAAGTGGGGTGGCAGGACCTGCCCAGGGTCCTGGGTTGCCCTGACGTTGGGGGAGAGGCGAGTCCCACAGCCATGTCAGGAACACAGGGTGTTCACTCACTTTGTGAGTGAGTGGAGATTTTCTCTCAGTGCCACTCTGGCTGTGCCCCTCCCATCACTGAGGTGGAGAGCCGGCTCACCAACGTTTTGCTTCCTTTCTCGCAGAAGAATTTTGAAAAGCCGTATACCTCATGACATATTTTTAAGTTGACATTTAAAATATTCATAACAAATTTAAATGTTTCACAGGACACAATTTCTGGTGTATTGACATTTTAAAGATGATTACATCATCATTAAAATATAACCACTAAAATCTAAATACTGTACTCTGGTAACTTAATACCCACAAGCATCCCTTTAAAAAACAACATGAGCAAGATATTCTTCAGCAATCTAAATTTTTGTATTTCCCTTTTGCTCCTTGAACTCCTTTTCTTGTATCTTCTTCTGCAGAATTATTAACATAATATAATTTTATGCTTGGAAGTCTTTTCTTGAAACCATATAATATGTCTCTGTAATAAAAATACGAGTATAAACTTAAATTTTCTGTGACCATATGCCAAATACTGAAAAATTTTCCTCCAAAATTATTTTTAAAGTACTATTAATATACATTTGTTCAAAACAGCGTAAATATATCACAAATCTGAAAAATAAACATTAAAAATATGTTTTATTCTAAATGAATCCAGTAATGAGATGGGTAGAGATTCTTTTTTTACCCTCAGTTTGTGAATTTATGAATGAATATTGCACAGTACTAGATCAAGATGGGAAGAGGATTGCTGTTGAGCTATATTTTTTAAAAATTTTAGTAAATAGATGAACATATTATCAAATAGTTGTGGTGATTTCATTTTCTCTGTAAATGGCCTTTACCTGGAAGTTAAATTATTCATCTTGAGCGTAAGGCGCATTTGTAACATACTCCCACCCATGGCATCTGTCATTACGCGCATCGGGTATGGTTGGAGGCTTTTGGACTCCTCCCTATTCCAGCCCGTGATTCAGATGTGCACTCCTACCTGGGTTGAGAAAAATTACTGCTCTAGAAGCTACTATATAGTTTCATTAGAAAGTTTGATCATAGATAATGTGAAGCTGTGTCCCCACTTGACCTTAGACGAGGTTTACCAGAGATTAGTTTGGTTAGATCTGTCTTAGGATTCCATATTCTTGTGAAACATTTCACATTTTTCTACAGAATCTGAATTCTTCTACAAGCCAGACGTCAGGCTCATCCATCAAGCTCTGTCCTCCGTCCTCCAGTATCAGACTCACAGATCAGCCCTCTGCCGACCAAAACCAGAAGAACGTCAGCTCATTGGCTCCTCCCAGTTGTTTCATTCCACAACGTAACCCAGAGGCTTCAGTCCTACAGAAAACGGAGTCTAAAAGAACGCATTTCCTAAAGGAAAATAAAAATAATGAAAAAAGAGAAATGCCCGTGAATCTTAAAAGAAAACATGGTGCATGTCATTTTTCAGGGAAAACAAATAAACATGTGGCATTGGAAGAAAATGCTGATGAGGTTGAAGCCCACCTAAACTGTGGGAACGCAAGAGCATGCGAAAACCATTTTTGTGACGTTAGGTATTTGGATGATTTGGAGAAAAGCCAACTGGTTGAAATGCTCAAACAGGCAGTGGCCGTGGTGGTAACACTGATGTATGAGGACGGTTCGACCCAGCTAAGAGCTGAGCAGGTTAGTGAACAGTGTTGGGTTTTGTTTGTTTCTTTGGCACCATAAAAGAACCCCATTTTCTTTGTGTCTGATTTTGATAGAGCTAAGAATAAGATTTGAAGCCCACCCTCCCCTCCCCACAGTGCTGAGTGACTGATAATGCATAGTTCTCTTCAGATTTTTAAGAAACTGTCAAAATGTTTTCCAGAGTGGGTATGCCTTTTTGCATTCCAGCAGCAACACGCAAGAGTTCCAAGCCCTCCACCTCCTTGCCAATCCTTGTTGACTATCTGGTTTTAGCCATTCTAGTGGATGTGAAGTGGGATTTCACTGCGGCTCTGAATTGTATTTCCCTAGTAACTAAGTACATTGAGCATCTTCTCATGTGCTTAGTCCCATTTTTGTATCTTCTGTGGTGAAATGTCTGTTCAGATCTTTTGCCCATTTTTAAATCGGGTTATTTGTGTCTTATTTTGGATCTGTAAGCCTTCTTTCTATATTCTGATACGAGTCCCTTGTCCGATCTGTGATCTGTAGTTCTCCAAATCTGTGGCTTATTTTTTTCAATTTCTTACTGGTGTCTTTTGAAGCACAAAATTTTTTAAATCTGATGAATTCTATCAATTTTTTTTGTATTGCTTGCACCTTTGTTGTTATATTTAAGAATGCTTTGCCTATCCCAGGTCTTGAAGATTTACTTCTGTTTTCTTCTAAGAATTTATGTTTTCGCTCTTACATTAAAATCTGTGCTTGACTTTGAGTTAATTTTTGTTGTGGTGTGAGATAAGGGGCACAAACCTGCCCCTTGTGTGTTGATACCCAGCTTTCCAAACACTGTTGATAAGACTCTTCTTTCCCCATTGGATTTTCTTGGCATTTTTCTCAAAACTCAATTGACTGTAAATATAAGGACACTCAGTTCTTTCCTTTGATCTATATGTCTATCCTGATGCCAGTACCAAAGGGTCTTGGAGTGTGAGTCTTCTAACTTTGTGTTTTTCAAGATTGGTTTGGGTATTCTGGTTACTTTGCATTTCCATATAAATGTTAGCATCAGCTTTTCATCTCCTTCAGGCACGCAGCTGAGATTCCGATGCAGATTGTGTTGAGTCTATAGATGAACTTTAGTTTTGCCATCTTAGCAGTACTGAGTTTTCGGGCCCATGAACAGGGGTGTCCCTTCATTTACTTACACCTTTAGTTTCTTTTAGCAGTGTTTTGTAGTTCTGTGTAGTATACAAATCTTGCTTTACCTGTGATTTTTGAAAGATATTTTTGCTCACTAAAGAGTTATAAGTCAGTAGTTTTTTTTTCTTTCAACAGTTGGAAGATGTTGCTCTGCTGTCTTCTAGCTTTGCTTTGTTTTCCCGCCAGAGATCTGCTGTCTCGCTTCTCTTGATCTCCATCTGGGTAACGCCCCTATCCCACCTGCCCGGCCCCTGCCCTCGCCCCTTCTTTTAAGGTTTTCTCTTTATCGTTGGTTTATATCATGTGATTGGTGTGGTGTTCTTCATGTTTCTTATACTTGGGGTTTATTGATTTAGGTTCTACAGATTAACTTGGGAGAACCGACACTCCTGTTAGGAGTTTTGTGGTCCTCAAGCGTGGTGTGTCTCTGTTAGTTAGGTCTTCTTTGGCTTCTTTCACCAGTGCTTGTCATGTAGTGTAGCATACAGATCCTGTACGTGTTTTGTTGATTTCTATTTAAGTATTTCATTTTTTGGAATGGTTATTATAAATGGTAATGCATCTTTTTATTTTTACTTTCATTTTCATTTACTTTTTATTTATTTTTTTAGAATAGAATAAGGAAAAAAGAGAGAGTCGGTGGCGGCGGGGGGTGGGGCAGGGCCAGAGGGAGAGGTGGAGAAAGAATCCTAAGCAGGTTCCACACCCAGCATGGAGCCTGATGCAGGGCTCAGTCTCACAACCCTGAGACAATTACCTGAGCCAAAATCAAGAGTCGGATGCTTAACCACCTGAGCTACCCAGGCACCCCTGGTAAACACATTGTTTTTAAAAAAAGATCATTTTTACATGTTTATTGAGAGTACATAGAAATACAATTGATTTTATGTTTTAATTTTGTATCTTGCAACCTTAACTAAACTCACATATCGGTTCCAGGAGGTTTTTTTGTAAATTCCCTTTGGTTTTCTATGCAGACATTTGTGTCATCTGTAAATAGAGACAATATAGTTCTTTGTTTCTGATCTATATGCCTTTTATTTCTTTTTCCCATTGTGTTACGCTGGCTAAGACTTCTGTTATGATGTTGAATAGGGAGGAGTCCAGATTTGGAGAGTAAGATCATGGGTTTGGCTTTTGGCCTTGACTGTCATTAAAAGAGCTATTTATTTACAAATTTAATTGTAGGCCTTTTCTCTCTGTTTAATTATAAAACATACCTTTCTTGAATAAATACACTGTTTGTGTTTAATTTTGAAACTGTATTTGTATTCACAGGCTCTGTTTCCCTCTGTTAAAGGAATTGCAGTGTTACTGCAGAGTCGTGTAGACAGCAGTGGTCCTCTGGATGTCTCAGCCTCTGACAGTGTCCTGGGGGAAGGCTCCACACTCCGTGATCAGTATATCTACCTCCAAACAGAGCACTCCTCTACTGGGGGCCAAGAGCAAGAGGCATATAATCAGTTTGCCAGGTCAGAAATCTCCTCCCACTGCCTTACTTCCTATTTACATGTCTGCTTCGTTGAGTCCAGTTAGAGTCTCCCAAGCTCCAACTTTAATTATTTAAACTTTTAGAAGTTTTGTACAGGCACATGAAAATAAAATGGATCTAAATGACAGCTCTGCACACAGTAGCCTGCTTTCCCCCAAAGAGCTTCTGGAATGAAGGCTCCATCCTTCCATGGGAGCCCCTCCAGGATTTGAATCAACATCTCAGTGAGAAGTTGGTAAGAAAAGCTTCATCCCAAGGCCTGAAGATCCACTGTCGTGACCACAGTCCCAGATGATTTTCCTCATCTCACTCACTCACAGCATTAGAAAATTAAAGTAAATTAAATTCAAAAAGTAAATTGTCCTCAGTACCACCTAATTTCATAGCTTCATTCTGTGGAAATAGTTAAGACACACCTCACTTGGTCCTGCCCTTTAGAATGGGACAGTTTTAGATCGAGCAGGGATGCTTGAGCTGCCCCGTGGTGATCCTGAAAAGTCCTGCTGGGGGTTCCAGCCCCTGCCCTCGTTACAGCTCTTCTGCCGTGTTGTCAGCCTGACTCCGGTTTCTGCCTTGGGTGGGGACATCCACTTCCTGCCCACCCAGCCCTCGGAGTCCCAGCCCCTTAGCTGCCTGGCAGGAGCTCCCTGAAGCTGCTGTCCTGAAGAGGCATTCACGGAGGCTCAGGGGTGAGCAGGTGGTGCCTAGGCCTGGCCCCGTTGGCCTCCTACAGTCTCACTGGGCTGTGGGGGAGTTGTCGGCCGTTGCTGCGTCTGTGTTGTCCCAGCGAGGAATGCCAGGGGCCAGTGTTGTGGCTGGACCAACCGTTAGAGTTCCTAGGATCACAGGACAATTCAGCAAAAGCCATCAGGGAACTTTGAGGAACAAGATTCATTACTCACAGGTCCTGGAGGGTACACACCACACCAGGGGGCCACACAGCAAAGTCGTAGCTAGAGAAAGAGAGGGTGCAGGCCTGAGGCTCAGCCTTTATTATGGTCTGAGGATGGGGGGCTGGCAGTTTCAAGGTTTCAGGCTTCATTGCTAATAGAAATCATAAAAGTGGGAGTCAGGGTGCAGGAAGGGAGAAGTAGGATCACTCACAGGTCAGGTGTCTAGATGCCGCCGGCCTGTCTGGAAGGGAAGCTGCATGGGTGGGGGTGGCCCTGTTCCTTGCATGGGTGTTTCGCTGCTGGCTTGTCATGCAGCAGGCAGTATGGATGTCTTTTGAAATGGATGCCTCAACAATCATAAGCTTAACATCAGGTACTTGTACTGCAGTAAGTTTTGGTGAGAATGGGACAACGTTTGACTAAGAGAGCAGCCTGCTCACAAGAAACCCATAGCCTTATTTTTACCTAATTTTCTTCCGAAAGAACAAGTAGGCAGGTCTATTCTATGGAAGATCTCTGTGAGAACAGAGCCCTAATATTTGGGTGGCCTTTTCTGAATTCTGGGTGTATATATCTTACTCAGTGCTCCTTACTTGGACATCTGATAGTCACTAGGGCCTCAACATGTGCAAAACTGAACTGCTGTCTTCCCGAAACCTGCCTCCAACAGGCTTTGCTGTCAAGGTTAATGTCAGCATTTGCCCTCCTTGAGCTCAGGCCAAGGGTCCTGGCATTATCTTTAACTTCCCTCTTCCTTTCATCCAAGCTCTTCGTATATCCCATTGGCTCTGCCTTCAAAATACAGCTAGAAGCTGACCTCTCTTCCCTTCTGTGGCTGCCATTTAGTTCAGGCCTTCACCTCCTGACCGAACTAAGCAGGGGCTTCCTGAGGGCCGCCTGCCTCCACCTGCCCCCAGCCTGTTTTCCGGACGGCTCCCAGAGAGGGTCTGAGCACTAAGGTCACAACGCTCCCTGCTCGGAGCCCTGCAACAGCTCCCGATGATGCCCGCAGGTCTGCGCGTGGCCCTCACCAGGCCTGGGAGCTCCTCTTCCCCTGCTCTCACTGCGCACCAGCCTTCTTGATCTACCCGGGGGTCTTCCTTGTACCACTCTTCCTCCCCTGCAGTGTGCTCCCAGGTATCTGCAGGATGCTACCCATTCCTCTAAACCATATCCCCCCAACACACACAAAGCAAATTACGAAAACATGAAAGTAGAGAGTGTAGTGTAATGAGTCCTGTATACACACCCACTCAAACCAAAGGTTTTTCCATGCTTCCTTCATCTGCCCCTTTTTGAGGAGAGGGGTAGGGAGCTGGGATTGCGGGAAAATCTCAGACATGTCGTTTTTAGTTCACAAGGCTCAGGATGCAGCTCTAAGACACCTGGCCACAATGCCATTCTCAAACTTAGCAAATTTAATACTCAGTCCACATTTAAAGTTACCTGATTGTTTTTATTTTTTATTTTTTTAAAGATTTTATTTATTTATTTGACAGAGACACAGCGAGAGAGGGAACACAAGCAGGGGGAGTGGGAGAGGGAGAAGCAGGCTTCCCACAGAGCAGGGAGCCCGATGCGGGGCTCGATCCCAGGACCCTGGGATCATGACCTGAGCCGAAGGCCGACGCTTAACAACTGAGCCACCCAGGCGCCCCTTATCTGATTATTTTTAAAATTGTTTCTGCACTTGATCTACTGGGATCAGGACCAGCAAGGTCACGCATGCCATTCCTTGTCTCTCCTCCCTCTTCTACTAAGAGCATCCTCCGACCTCTGACCCCATCTTGCAGGAGGTCCCATGTCCTGGGCTTATCTGTTTTGTGATTGTGGGGTTCTTTACCTTGTTCCCCTTTCCTCCATACTTTCTGTAAGCTGGAGCTTCGTTCTACGAACTCCCTTATCCAGCTCCAGCTTTTTTCACGAGGGTACTTCCCTGGGTGGTGCTGTCTGCTTCATACCCCATCACACACAGTTGGATGGTCAGATTTAGCAAATAAAAATGCAGGATGCTAAGTTTGGATCCCAGATAAACAATTTTTTAGTATAACTACGTCCCAAGTGTTGGAAGAGACATTCTTACGCTACAGGCATACATCTCTAAAAAACATATTTTTTTTCACATAAAAATTATTCACTGTTTTTCTGAACATCATGTTTAGCTGGGTGCCCTGCACTCGATCCGGCTACCTTCTGTGATGCAGTTGTGTTGTCCTCATATCCGTGACGCTCCAGTGGAGCTGTGGGCTAGGCGGTGTCAGCATACTCCCTCCATTGTGAATGTCCCCACTGAACGTCCCCTCAGTGGTCATCGAAATCACTTTTTCAGTATGTCTGGAAGATGGTGATTTTTCTGTGTCTATCATTTCTTCCACACATATTGGGTAAAATTTTCGATAGAGAACTTTCCTCCTTCAACGAGGCCTTTTGTTCACCTTACACTTCAAGTCTTCCCTGAGGTGTTAGAACGTGGTCAGAAGGCCTTCCCTGCCCACTGTGTATAGCAGTGCCCACCCACCCCCCGTCGCCCTGTGTGTCTGTCTCTGAGTGCCCCGAGCCAGGGGTTTTTATGTCTTGCTCATTCCTCTGTCTCCACAAGCCAAGAACAATGTGACAGAGTATGTACTTCACAAATATTTACTGTTACTTTTGAACAAATGAGTATTAAGGTTTAATTTTTGTAAGTTCCAAGACAATTATATGAAGACATGGCCTCACATACCATAAAATTGGAAGTAATAATCCCAATTCTATGTTAGTATGTTTGAGATTTAAAATGAATTTAAATAAATCACATTTAAATGAAAACATAAATAACTTTTTTGCACAAAGCATACCGAATACTATTTATCGCACACCTGTGCAAGGTCTTCTTACACGTGCTGTCTTCATCTTCACATTAACTGTATGTGTTGGGTCTTATTAGTTCCATTTTATAGATGACGAAACTGAGACTCAGAGAAATATCCCTAAGTCAGTCTTGAGACTCAAGCCTCCTCTTTTAGACCCAAGTCTACCTTTTTTATATTCTGGCTGCCTTTTTGTTTACAAACGTGACACAACTGACTTCTGTAACTGACTTACAAAACACACTGTGTTTCAGTCACTTTGTCTTACAAGATGCTCTTTTTGTTGTTTGTCATACCTTAAGTTAGAAACCCGCTAGCCTGCATCTCCTACCAGTGGGAGATCCTGCAGTTCTTAGGTGACCTTAGTAGGGACTTGGCGTCTGCAACAAGTAAGGGCGTCAGCGTGGAAGTGCAGCTCTTCTCCCCCGGAAGCTCCCAGCCCCTCTCCCCTTCTCTCCTCCCTGCGCCCTCCCCAGTCCACAGAGCCAAGACCTGACACGGTGCTGCTGGCCCTCTGTCCTCCCTACCAGCCAGGTCCCCTCTTCCAGGGAAACCCATGTGAAGCCACGCAAGAAAATGCAAATGTCTGTGCAGCAAGCTGAGCAGAATCTAACTCTCTGTTGACTCTGTGTGCAGAGCTGAGTGGGCTCCTGCTTTCTTTCTCCCTCAGCCTCATGCAAGACCCTCGTTAATGTATGAATAGAGAGTTCCTATAAAGGAAGACTTAAGTGCGGGCCCTGGCAGCAGCAAGATAGGGTCTTGCTGGGAAAATTGTTTAGCCACTCTGAGCCTCAGCTTCCTTATCTGTAAAGTGGATCTGGTGCCTGCCTAACAGGGTTGTGCTGAGATTTCAGTGTAACAGTCCTTTGAAGTGTTTAGCATGGTGTCGTCATGGTAAGTGTTCAGTAAATGCTGACTCTTATGAATCCCATATCCAAGGAGCTCACAGAGCAGTGGGGCGAGCCTACTTTCAAGGCAAATTACGGTACAAATGTGGTCCTGGCTGCAGCTGGTACATGGACAGGAGTAGAGAGGAGGGGAAACTCCCCGCCTGGAGAAAGGGGCAGTTTGCAGAAATCGTGGGAGGGGAATTGCAGGCAAGAATGCAGCATGTGGCATGGCCCAGACTGTGGGAGGACGTGGCACCGTGTGCTGGTGGAGGAAAGACAATTCAGTGTGAGCGGAGGGCAGAGTGTTGGGAGCGCGTGCTGGGAGAGCAGGCTGGAGAGCCGTGCTGGGGAGCCTGTAAGGAATCCAGAGTGTGTGTGCTCCGCTCAGGACCGCCAGGCTTAATCTGCGGTAATGCGACTTCTCCCAGGGATGGGTTCTGAACAGCCGTGGGGCCTGTCTCAGCTTCATCATCTGTAAGTGCAGAGAAGTAACACCTTCCCACAGGATTCAGGTTAATCCACGGAAGGCTCCTAGAAGAAGAATGTCTACAAGGTAGTATTAGCAAGTGACACCTGTCAGTAGAGCAATAAAGATATTTTTTCCAAGGTCAGAAGTTCTAAATTAATGTCTGAATCAGTGAATTTCTTTTTATCTTCCAGGAAAGTGCTGTTTCAAATGCTGAAATGTAAATGTCCTGTTGTTTGTTTTAATGCTAAGGACTTTGTGCGAACAGTGCTGCAGTTTTTTGGTAAAGATGGCAGCTGGAAGCATGGTAAGTTTTAGTTTTTATAATCTCTTAAATTGAGCTCTCCAGCAGTGATTCCTCCTGGGAATGGGAGGTGGGGAGGCAGGGTCCAAAGCACCAGCTGTGTGGCCTCGTGCCCCAAGGGTGAGGGGCACTTTCCCTCTGTGCTTTAGATCATTTGATTTTTTTGCAAGTATAATTACTTTTTATAATTTAAAATAAGAAAGAAGTGATTTATGCAGTGTGGTCAGATGGGATGTGTTGTTACCACAAATAGCTTATAAACTCCCTACGAATTAAATTAAAGTCCAGACACATGAAAAGATGCTCAACATCTCTCATCATCAGGGAGATGCAAATCGAAACTACAATGAGATACCACCTCACACCTGTCAGAATGGCTAAAATCAACAACACAAGAAACAACAGATGTTGGTGAGGATGTGCAGAAAAAGGAGCCTTCGTGCGCTGTTGGTGGGAACATAAACTAGTGCAACCATTCTGGAAAACAGTGTGGAGGTTCCTCAAAAAGTTAAAAATAGAGTTACCCTGTGACCCAGCAATTGCACTACTGGTTATTTATGCAAAGAATACAAAATACTAATTCAAAGGAATACATGCACCCTTAAGCTTATGGTATCATTATTTAACAACAGCCAAGATATGGAAGCAGCCCAAGTGTCCATCAAGAAGATGTGGCATATACATACATATATACATACATACATACAGTGGAATAGTACTCAGCCACGAAAAAGAATGAAATCTTGCCATTTGCAATGACATGGATGGAGCTAGAGAATATTATGCTAAGTGAAATAAGTCAGTCAGAGAAAGACAATACCATATGATTCACTCATATGTGGAATTAAAGAAACAAAACAAATGAGCAAAGGGAAAAAGGAGACAAACCAAGAAACGGACTCTTAACTGTAGAAAACACGTGATGGTGACCAGAGGGGAGGTGGGGGGATGGGGGAAACGGGATGGGGATTAAGGAAGGCCCCTGTCTTAATGAAAACTGGGTGGTGTTCAGAAGTGCTGAGTCACTATATTGTACACCTGAAACTAATATGACACTATGTTAACTATACTGGAATTAAAATTAAATAATAATTCACATCAAAACAATATAGAACACGTTTTTATCTTTCATTTAACATAATAAGGATTTTTAATAACTTTTCTTAGATGGACAGATATGTAGCAAAGCAAATATAGCAGAAATGCTCCTTATAGAATCTAAGTAGTGGATATTATGAGGGTTCACTGGATAGTTCTTTTTAAATTGCATGTTTGAAAATATAATAAGAGGTTGGAAAAAAATCTTTTTTAGTATTTGTATTTATTTATTTGAGAGATAGTGAGAGCAAGAGAGATCACAGAGGGAGAGAGAGAAGCAGATTCAAGGCTGAGCATGGAGCCCAATGCAGGGCTCGATCCCAGGACCCCCAGATCATGACATGAGCCAAAGGCAGATGCTTAACCGACTGAGCCACCCACGTGCCCCAAGGAAAGAAAAACTCTTTGAATGTACAAAATTTCCAACATGTCCAAAATTACCTGTGATACAATAAGAAATATATATTTAGTCTTTGTCCTTGCTTCCTGGCACATAGTTCCTAAGACCCTTGCAATCCCCAGAGTGCCAAGAATGTCTTTTGTGGGCTAATGAGAGGACTGGGAGTGGGGGCCCCTAGTGGGCTTCAGGATGGGGCAGTGGACAGAATGACCACACCGGGCTTAGTGGGTTGGACTTTAAGTCCCTCACCCCCACACCCCCTCCAGGGACAGAGAGGGGATGGAGAGGTGGTCCATCTCAGTGGCCAGCGAGCTCATCAGTCGCACCTGGGCCGTGGAACCTCCATAAATCCCCTGCCCAGGGGGTGGGAGGACCTGGAGGGCTCCCAGGTTGGGGAGCACGTCTGGGTGCTGGGCAGGGGGGAGCTCTGCACCCCTTGCCCCATACCTTGCCCTCGGGACGGTCCCGAGTTGTGTCCTTCATGATAAATGGGTCACGAGTTAGTATAAGGTGCTTTCCTCAGTTCTGCGAGCCGTTCTAGCCAATTATGGAACCCGAGGAGGGGGTCGTGGGAAACCCAATTTGTAGATGGTGGGTGGGAGGTACAGGAGGCGTCTGAAGCACGGGTGGTCTTGTGAGGCTGCAGGGTCTGCACTCAGGGCAGCTGGTGTCAGAATGGCGCCAACTGTCAGACACCCGCCGGCGTCTGCAGAGCCGCAGACCCGTGGGCGGAAGACCGCACACTGGGCACCAGAGACGGTGTTGGAAAACAACATGGTACCCATCGCCCAGCTTCAACAATTAACCAACTTATGTCCAGTCTTCTTTCCTCTGTAACTCCTCACACTTCCAACCACCTGCCTCCTGGCTTGATTCGTAGCAGATTCCAAGCATCATATGATTCATCTGTAAATGTTTCAATTATGTGGTGAAGCATGAAGGTTTCATTTTTAAGATGATGCCATCATCATCTTCCCCCAAATTAGTAGTAATCTTTCAGTGTTATTAGATATCCAGTCAGTGTGTGCCCTGCCCCTGTTGTCTTTAAATATCTTGTTTGTTTTTATTTTTTTACAATTTGTGTGACTTGGGATCCAAACAAGAGTTGGGCTTAGGTTATCCCGAAGCTAGGATAAGGTATATGTTTCTTGTTTCTTTTTCTTCATCTATATATTCTCTCTCCCTGTTTTACTTTCCTGTAATTATTTTGTCCTTGTGGAGGGAACCAGTTTCTTTGTCGTGTAGGATTTCCCAGCGTCTGGATTTTTCAGAATGTCTCACCTTCTTGCTGTTTAACACCTTCTTCTTGCTCTTCTATTTCTTGTAAATTGGCAGCGATTTCAGGCCTGATTTTGGGAGGGCAAGACTAAGTCATGACCCCGACCCTAGGTAGTGGCGTGTCCTTCTGTCAGGAGGTACATGATATCTGGTTGTTTACCTTTTTTGTGATATTTGAACCCATTTCATATGTTGAATCTACTTCTCTGCTCTTTCATATTTATCACTTTATCTAGAATCTATTTCCAATCTCATTTTCTTTAAATTCCTCTTTTCCATCGTCTTTTCTTATGTAGGGCATTATCCATTGCATTGATTGGCTTTTGTGTATTGCCAGTTCAGTTTTTATTTATGAAATTTTTTTTGTTTTATTTCCTGAACGCTTTCATTTCTTTGTTCAGTTTTTATTTTTCTAAGTCACCTAATTTCCAACTCTTTCTGATTCTGATTTATTTATTTTTCATCACTTCTATCATTTTCTCAGATTTTCTTAGCTCATTTTAAATCTGTTTTGTTGGTACTTCTCTTTCAACTACTGGCATTTTCTCCCCAGTGTGGGGCCTTGGCCTGGCGGGCTTTAGTATGTGAGGTGGAGGAGATTACAGGAACCAGCCCCCAGGCCCTTCCCCAAGAGTTTTCAAGAATGTTAGCAGAGCCTTAATTTTGGACAATTAGGGCTCTGAAAAGGCAAGTAGAGTGAACTAGTCCTCCTGGGTCAGTTAGCATTGTCAGATGGTGTTGGGTTGGGTCATGCACAGCCGACATGGGTATAGGTCCAAGAGCACCTGCCGATGTTGTCCCAGCCAAGGTTCCAAATCTGCCAATGTCAGAGACTTCCCAGACATCAAACAAAAAAGTCATGATACTGGTTGCATTGGCAAATATAAATCTCTTAGACTGGCATAATTTAAAGGTGCCAGAAAATACAATATTTAGTGTGTTGTGATCTAAGACTACAGTTTTGTTTAAAAGCAAACTCCTTATTTTTTGTAGCATTATTCAAAATGTTAAAGTAACTTGGAGCGCCTGGGTAGCTCAGTTGGTTGAGCATCGAAGTCTTGATTTCGGCTCAGGTCATGATCTCAGGGTCCTGAGATAGAGCCTCACGTTGTGCTCCATGCTCAGTGCAGAGTCTGCCTGGGTTTCTCTCTCTCTCTCCCCCTCGCTTGTGCTCTCTCTAAAATAAATAAATCTTAAAAAAAAAAAAAAAAATCTTAAAAAACAATGTTAAAGCAACTTGAAAATGCAATCACTTAGAATTCAGATTTCTCTCTCAGTCTATCAGTCCCCCCCCCCCCCCCGCATTATAGCTCCTCTGTCCGTGTCTAAAATACTCTGGTACTAAAACTTATTTAGCAAATGTCTTTTTTATTTTTCACAAAGCATCTTCCCATATGTCTCACAGAGATGTACAGTAACCTCTTGCCTGGGTTTTGGATGAGAAAACTAGTACTTAGGGGCAGTGACTGCCCAAGTTCCAGGGGTGAACTTGTGCTTGGTTCTTTTTCCATATCCCAATGCAGCAGAGATCTGGGGGTCTCTCAGGTTTTCCTCCATCAGGGGAAATGCCCCAAATGCCAGCCATCTCTGTCCTCAAACACACTGCCCTCCTCCTTTCCCCCACCTGCCCTCCGAACTCGGCAATGAGGACGCTTATGCTCTTTCTTCTACCCACAAGACTTGGGTTCCTGGACACCCTGAAGAGGGGTCAGGAGTGCCTAGGAAGGTAGCTCAGTGAGAGGCACAGGGTAGGAAAGCTGGGGAGCAGGGGCGGGGGCAGGTGGGGGAGAGGAGGCCAGAAGAGGGCCTGAGGGTTCTCACCGCCACCTCTCTGAACATTTTTGAGATGTCCCAGTTCCACGTTAGTTCATTCCCCCTCTTTGGCTGCCTGGGGTCAGTTCCCTGTGGAGATTGCCTGTGTGCAACCTGGGTCATGGAGGCCGCTCGTACCAAAGGCTCCAGTTCCTTAGGAACGGTGGAGCATCCCTTAGGCACTCACCTCTGTAACTTGAGGGCACGGCAATGCTATTATTATTATTTTGAACCTCAAGAAAAGGACAGTTCTTCGGTTTTCATGGAGTGACTAAATGGCCATTTTCTCTGTAGTTGTTCATTTTATAGGGCTCGACCCCAGAATTGCTGCATGGCTTATAGATCCTGGCGATGCTGCACCCTCTTTTGAAGATTTAGTGGCAAAATACCTTGAAAGCTCCATCTCTGTTAAAGTGAACTGCACATATGGGAATTCCTCAAGAAATGTTGTGGTGAGTTATGTTAAGATGAGGCTTTACCAACCTTCATCAACCGAATTTTTTCCTAGAAATTTTTTCTGCTTCATAAACAGTCCAGTAGTAAAAAGAACATTGCTGACATTCATTTTTACTTATTCTGCACAAATGCTTTTTAAAAACCCTCACATTTCTGGTGGAGGATATTGAGTTAGGACAGGTGACTTCTGTTCCTTCATGAAACTGTTCCTGGGAAGTCCACTCACAGTGTGATTCTTCTTTTTTTTTTTCCCAATAAAAATTAGAAGGATTTTTCATTTCCAAGTCCTTTGAGAAAGCAAAACTAATGCAACACAAATTGAAAGATCTAATTAATAAATTTAACAAGCCAAAGTAATTTTGTTACGTAGATTAACCCATTTATTATAGGCTAGCAATGTTTCAAATGGTGGAGCTTCTACTGGTCTTTCAACTCCTTCAGTCATTTGATGGCGGGCTTTACTGTGACGGCACAGAAGTGGTGCTGTAGGTCCAGGCGCCATCAGTGACGGTTTTCGTGCAGGAGCCACAAGGCCAGATCCCCACAGCTCGTCGTTTCGTCTTGGTTTTGCCACAGAAGGAGCAAGTGTATTTGGCGTGCTGGCTTATTTCAATCTTCTTCACCATTTTCCTGAGGGAGGCACCATAACGGGTCCTGTATTTACCCACGATTCTCACCTTCTTGGTGCGTTTAGCCATGTCGCCGCAAACTAGGTCTGAGCCCAGAGAGACAGTGTGAGTCTTGTAAATGGACCCTCCAGCGTCAGAGAGCCACGTGCTCTGGGCCCCATGAGCTGCTCGTAGTGCCGGTGGCCCAGCCGCTGCAGCAGAGGCTCTGGCCACACCTCGCTCCATGTGCCCAGGTGTGTCTTCCCAAGCCCTGCCCTAGAGACACACCCAGTTGTTAGGAACCGCGTCTGCAGAAGCCATAGTGCTCACGGGTCTGGAGGCCGGCCCGGAGCCCAGTGAGCCAGGCCCTCGAGGAGGTGGCCCAGGGGGAGCAGTGTGGCCACAGTTGGGCCACTCTGTCGAGGCTTCCTGCATGCAAATCAACAGCAACACGCTAGAAGCACAACGGGACGAGCATACAGGGGGCTTGGGGAGCACCAGGGTTGGCCATGGGGTGGGAACCATGGGGGCAGAGTGGCTGGTGACGTGCAGGCTCTGAGGTTCGGGGAGGTCCGCTTGCTCCTGCTCTTCATCCTGCGCTGTCTGTGAGGGAGGGTCTGAGTCCGGTGGGGACTTGGGGTACAAATGTGGAAACTCACTCTCCATTAAGTTAAAGAGATGTGTCAGAGGAATATGTGGGAGCTCCCAGACTCAGAGGGAAAGCAGTAGCAGGCCATGGGAAGACGCGAGCCTCAGGCCCTGGGGCCAGCAGTGAGCCATGGGTCACTTTTGTCAAAGACCCACAGTAAGTTCCCTCACTGTGCCACATGTGTGCCCCTTGGCAGGGGGACAGGGCGTGGAGTTGAGTTCTACTGATTGTAGGATGCCGGGAGGGGAACTTCCTCAAATAGCAGCCGAGACACTGTCACTGAAACAGGGACTTGCCCACCTCAGCACTACCAGTCCCAGTTTATAGATGAGAAGACCAAGGTGGAGAAAGGTCAGTGTGCATGCACCTTGCCCGAGGTCAAGTTGAGGCTGTGGATCAAAGCGTGGGTTTCTGACTATAAGGTCTAGTTTCTTTCTAGTGCATCTAGGGCTGGGAGTGGCTGCAGGGAACGAAGCACCAGCCTCAGAGGTGTGTTTTCTCCCTGTCAAGAAGCCGGGGCCCTGCACCCAGGTGCTCACAGTGCTGTGGACCCTGCCAGTCCCACCACTGCCCGTGAACTGTCGCCTCACCCCGGGCCCTCAGCACACTCCAGGAAGAAAAGCAGCAGGCTCCGTGAACTTGCGCTCGAATCCTGGTGGCTAGAAATGTGTCCATTGTGGAGGCATGCAGGCATGCAGTGTGTGAGGGGCGGGAGGGGAAAGCCAGGCCCACGTTGTGCCATGCTGAAGAGGTGCTGGGGATGGTCTGAGAGAACACAGGGGGCGTCTGGGCAGAGGGAGCAGCATGGGAACGGGAGGGAATGGTGAGATTGGGAAGAAAGGTGTGGGGTAGAGGAGGGGTGGTATCATGGGCTCTGTCACGAGGGTGCTGGTCCCACCCGGAGCTCAGTCTTGTCCTAGGGAAGCCCCGCTGGAGAACCGTTCATAGTGGGAGGCGCATCGTCGGCTCTGTCCTGTAGGAAGCTCATTTGGGCAGGAGTGGACAGTCTGCTCACGGTGTCCCCAGACCAGTCTTCCGGGAGAGCCAAGGCTGGGGATGACGAGACAGCAAATGCCAGGCTACCTCAGCCCACTGCTGGCTCCTCGTCCTGCGGTTTCTCCGGCTTGGGGCCTTGAGGCTGAAAGTGGGGTGTGGGGAGTTGTTTGGCAGAGCGAGGTGTCCAGGGGAGGAGAGTCAGACTGCGTGCTGGGGGCTGCGGCCCATGCCCTGCCCTGTGTGTCCACGCTCAGGGCCTCTGGGGGTGTCGTCCAGGTGAGGACAGACAGTGAGGGTGGCCACGTGGCTCCTCGGCCTACTGGGGCACGTGAGGGTATGCTTCTGTCTCTACCACCGTGTGATCTTTGCACTGTGGACATTTTGCAGTTCCTGTAAAATGAAGAAGAAAACTGGGTTGGGGGAAGGTGTGAGGCGCCAGGTAGCTTGCATTTGTCCAATAAGAAGGCTTTTCTGTAGCATGGGAGCTCGCCCGCTTGAGGTATTTGGTGATGCCACCGGCGTTCATGTCTGCCATGGAAAGGCTTGTGCCACCTACCTAGTGCCCATTTCTGTGGGTTGTGTCACTCCCTAGAGTGTGATGAACACTGCTGCCAAGTTTGCCTAATCTTTCATTCTTTTGATCTTTTAAAGAATCAGAATGTACGGGTGAACCTGAAGATACTCCACAAACTTATGACGGGCCTTTGTTCCCAGTTGAAGGCAAGGCGTCTCACTGTAACTTGGGGTTGGCAGGCACTGTTGCTCACTGTTCCCCAAGAGCACCTCTCACTCACATCCACGCCCACAGCATCTTTGAGTGAATTCTCAGGCCAAGTGAACTTGTGCATCACTCATAGAAGGATAGTCCACATAAGACCTGAAGTTTTAAAAATGTTTTCCGTAGGCTAACAATTGTAGCGTTTTTAAAAGCTACCAATTCAATTGGAACGTTTGTATTTTTTTTTTAAGATTTTATTTATTTATTAGAGAGAAATGGAGAGCATGAGTAGGGGGAGGGGTAGAGGGAGAAAAAATCTCCAGCAGACTCCCCACTGAGTGGGCAGAGCCCGATGCGGGGCTCAAGCCAACGACCCTGAGATCATGACCTGAGCCAAAGTCAGATGCCTAACCTACTAAGCCACCCAGGCGCTCCTCAGTTGGAATGTTTCTAATGCTACAGTTAACGTAAAAGCTGAGTATTCATTTTAGTTTAATAGTGAGATGGACACAGCTCCACTCAGTCTCGTTGGGAAGCAGAGGGCATTTGCGGGAACAGTCAAGAAGAGTTGGAGGAAGGGACTGTGTGTGGAGGTGAGCCTAGGAGTGGGGGGCCAGCAAAAGGATGGAGAAGTCTCTGGAGACAGGTACTAGCTGGAAGCGTTTCCACCGCTGGGCTTGGAGGGGAAGCTGTCACCAGGACCCGGGGAGAGCCGAGGCCCTGCAGGGGCTGCTGGTCAGGAGCTGGACACCAGGCGCTGTGGATGCAGGCCCAGGATTGTGGGCTGCTGGGAAGGGTCCAGCAGGAGAGAGGAAGCCCATTTCTCTCCCCTACTACCCAACATGGGCAAAACCAGCCTGAGAGCTGAGGAGGAGCCAGGTGGTGGCCTGGAGCATATCAGCCCTTCCCCGAGGGCAAAGTGCAGGGCACGGGGCCTGGTGGAGGGGCAGGCAAGGCCGAGGGCTTCAGATGGCCGCAGGAAGGGACACACATGACAGAAGCCCTGAGAAGAGGCATGAAGACGGCCTGAATAAATGCAGAGACGTTTCATACTCCTGGAGGAGGTGACCTCATATAAAGATTTCACCTCTCCCCACACTAATCTATAAAGCCATTGCAAAAACCAATGAAAATTCTAGCTACGCTTTTGGGAATTCAGTATACCTATTCTGAAGTTAAAATGGTAGGCTGCAAGTCTAAAGATACCTACATCACACTTAAAAATGAGAAAGATTAGGGCGCCTGGGTGGCTCAGTTGGTGAAGTGTCTGCCTTCGGCTCAGGTCCTGATCTCAGAGTCCTGGGATCGAGTCCGTGTCAGGCTCCTTGCTCAGTGCGGAGTCTGCTTCTCCCCCTGCCTGCCGCTCCCCCTGCTCGTGCTCTCTCTCTGTCAAATAAATAAATAAAATCTTTAAAAAATTTTTTTTAATGAGAAAGATTAAAGAGAATTGGGAGTGGGGATTGGCCTACCTGGTATTTCTAAATATCTCTGTGAGGTCTTGGTAATGAAATAGAATACTTGAAGGAAATAGTTTTACTAGGAAGGAGCTCGGCGGGAGGGCCGCTGTTGGGAGGAGCCACCACTCACTTGGGAGTTGCCCGAATTCCACCTCAATGCAATCAAGTAGGCTGTTCAGCAGCGTGTGGGTAGAAATAATTTAAAAGTAATATTGGTATCATTTCTTCCTACAAAACAGGTTTATGGTTTATGGCAACTATTTTGTACTTTGGAGCTTCCTCTGATACCAGTTTTGGCAGGTAAGCTACCATAAAGATGATGGACAGTCCTGTTTCTAGGGAATTCTTGACATTCTTTGAGGGCAACTGTTTTCTTATTTAGGGGTAGGCAGTGTGTCATGTGAGCACTGAGAGGTAGCAAGCCCTTTATTTTCCCTCCGTAACAAGAGGGGTTGGATAGCATCACCTGTCGATCTAGAAGGACGAGAAGGTTCTGACCTCTCAGTCGCATGGGATCCCTTTTGCACCGCGTGGTTCTGCCGGGCACCCTGGCCGAGTGGCAGCCCCAGCTCCTGAGGGCCGCAGTGCGGGTCGAGCCTGTGGTGTGTTCTGCATGGCAGTTGTTCGTCCTAGTGGCGTGCTGTCCATCACCCCCTCTTCCCCCGCTCGGGACAGCCCCTAGAACAAGGGGTGCCAGGCCCTCCTCTGCCTTTGCCTCTCAGCGCCCCCTCCGCCCGGGTCCTGCTGGGCACTAGGGGAGCCGAGCCCGGCCCAGCGCTCCGCAGCCTGCCTGGCCCAAGGCGACTCTGTCCCATGCGGCTGGCCAGGGCGCATCCCCACGCCCCCCCACGCCCCCCGCGCCACTGCTGGGCTCCCGCACCGACCGTCATGGATCGTTGGTGGAGGTGGGACGTGGCAGGCACTGTCCTTGTCCTCCTCAGGAAGGCAGGCTCACTCCCCGTCCTTGAGGCTTTCACAGAAATGACTCACTGTTTGGTGTTTGACTGACAGTGATGGAGAGCCACAGCTTTCAGGTGAACAGAGAAGAGATGGAGAGGACTTCAGCCCTTCTGGGGGTACGTTCTTATTTCAGAGCCGGGGTGCCTGTAAGTCCTTCCTCCCTTCCTCCTCCCTTCCTCACTCACGCCACACTGACCCCGATGCCTCCTGTCTCTGATGTGTGCTGGGGAGCACCAGACCCACCCTGGGTGCTTGCTCCATGGTGCACGGGGTTTCACGGATCCTCCAGCTTCTCAAGAGTCAGGTTCATTTCACAGGTACACCCCCCTGGAGTTTGGTGAGGGCAATTCATGGCTTTCTTGGGTTCTTTGAAAAAGCAAGAACAGGGCCCCTGGGTGGCTCAGTCGGTGAAGCCTCTGCCTTCGGCTCAGGTCATGATCCCAGGGTCCTGGGATCGAGCCCCGCATCAGGCTCCCTGCTCAGTGGGGAGCCTGCTTCTCCCTCTCCCTGCTGCTTCCCCGGCTCCTGCCCTTTTTCTCTCTCTCAAATAAATAAAACCTTTTAAAAAAGCAAGAACAAAACTTTCTGTCAAAAAAAAAATATAGAGGGTGCATAGAGATGCATGAAAAATGCATTAAAATGTTTCACGTAAGTTATTTTAAAGGAGACTGTGGTATAACCACCACCTAGGTCATAGTGTAGAATTTCCAGAAGCCCTGTGTGCCTTTTCCCTATCAGAACCCCTTCCCCTGCCAAAAGTAACCTCCGCCCTGACTTCTGGAGTCACTGCGTTGTTGCTTTTACTTTCCTTTGCAGTTTTCCACCTCAGGGCCTAAATAAGGGCTTTGCTTTGGAACTGTGAGTTAGTGGTCGTCTGACCGCTCTCCCTCCAATCCGGGGCTCAGCTCCACCCGTGTCCTGTGTAGCTCGGTGCTTAGTCTTCCATCACACCCCGTGTCCCACTGTTGATAGCATTTGGGGTGTGGCCAGCTTGTGGCCGTTACAAACCACACTGCTCCCTTGGGCATGTCTTCTGGCCCCACTGGTGCACGCTTCCCTGGGCACAGGACGGTCTCCTCAGCTTTAGTAAGAAGTCTCACTGCCAGAAGCACACACGGGGAGGGTCCTGCCATTGCACGTCTTCACCTGCATGAGGACACCAGGCTTTTAGGAACAGCCATTCTGGTGGGGACGTAATGGTATCTCGTTAACGATTTTGGTTTCTATTTTCCTGACTACTAATGAGGTGGAATAGCTTTTTATATCATCATTGGCTATTAGGAGTTTCTCTTTGGTAAAAGATCTCTTCAGGTTTCTTACCCATGTTTATATGGAGGGCTCTGTCTTTCCCTTACTAATTTAGAGGACATCTTGATATACTCCAGTTACAAGCCTGTTACATATACCTTCTCCCTCTCTGTGTTACCTTTTTACTCTCCTAATGGTGTCTTTTGACAAATAGAAGTTCTTAATTTTTTTTTTAAAGATTTTATTTATTCATTCATGAGAGACAGAGGGAGAGAGAGAGAGAGAGAGAGAAGCAGAGGGAGAAGCAGGCTCCCAAGGAGCAGGGAGCCCGATGTGGGACTCGATCCCAGGACCCTGGGATCATGACCTGAGCCGAAGGCAGACGCTTAACCATCTGAGCCACCCAGGCGCCCTAGAAGTTCTTAATTTTTAATGTAGCGTAATTTACCAATCTTTGTCTTTATGGTTAGTGCTTTTTGTATGCTGTTTAAGAAAGCTTTCCTACGTCACGTTCATGAAGTTTGCTCATGTGTTATGTTTAAAAGCTATTTTTATTAGCCTTTGCATTTAGGTTTATAATCCATCTGATTTTTTCTTTTCATGTACTGTTTTAATTGAGAAAGAAATTGCATACAGTGAATAGTACAAATAATTTTAATTATTGTGATAAAGTACATTTAATGTAAAACTTACCATCTTAAACCATTTCTGATTAGACGGTACAGTGGTATTAAATACATTCTCATGGTTGTACAGCTGTGATCACCATCCATCCCCAGAACTGTAAAACTGAAACTCTGTGCCCCTTCAACAGTCACTTTCTGCTCTCCCCTCCCCGCCCCCCCCCCCCCCCCCCCCCCCCCCCCCCCCCGCTCCTGGCAGCCACCGTTATGCTTTCTGTCTCTATGATCTGACTGCTCTAGGTACCTCATGTAAGTCGAATCACACAGAATTTATCTTTTTGTCACTGGCTCATTTCACATAGCATAATGTCTTCAACATTCGTCCTTGTTGTAGCGTGTTGCAGAATTTTCTTCCTTTTCGAGGTTGAATGTTATGTACCACATTTTACTTCCATTCATCTGCCAGTGGATGTAAGCAACTTGGGTTGCTTCCATGTTCCAGCCATTGTGAGTAATGCTGCTCTAAAAATGGGTGTACAAATATATCTCTGAGGCCCTGCTTTCAATCCTTTTGAGTATAAACCCCAAGGTGAATTGCTAGATCTTATGGTAAGATTTTTAATTTTTTGAGGAACTACTGTACTTTTTCTATAGTGTCTGTACCATTTTGCACTCCCACTCACAGTGCATAAGTGCACTTTCTCCACATCCTCGCCAATACCTGTTGTTTTCTGAGTTTTTTGTTTTGTTTGTTCTTATAATAGCCATCCCAATGGGTGTGAGCTGGTATCTCACTGTAGTTTTGATTTGCATTCCCCTAATGATTAGTAATATTGATCATCTTTTCATGTGCTTACTGATTATCTGTGTATCTTCTTTGGTAAAATGTCTCTTCAGATCCTTTGCCCATTTTTAAATTAGGTTGTCAATTTTTTTTTCTTGTTGAGTTTTAGGAGTTCTTTATATATTCTGGATAGTAATCCTTTATCAGATATATGATTTTTAAATATTTTCTCCCATTTTATGGGTTGCCTTTTTACTCTGTTGATAACGTGATAACGTCTTTTGATGCACAAAATTTTTAAATAACATGGTCCAATTTAAATTTTTTTCTTTTGTTACCTGTGCCTTTGTTGTCATATCCAAGAAATAGCTGTCAAATCCAATACTGTGAAGCTTTTGTCCTCTGTCTCCTTCTAAGAGTTTTGTTGTTGTAGGTCTTACATTTAAGCCCTTGATACATTTTGAGTTAATTTTTTATATGGTGCGAGGTAGGGGCCCACCTTCATTTTTCTGCATGTGAATGTCCAGTTTTCCCAGCACCATTTGTTGAATAGGCTGTACTTTCTCCATTTAGTGTTCTTGGCATGCTTGTCAAAAATCATTTGACCATATATGCATGGGTTTATTTCTGGGCTCACTATTGTATTCTCTTTGTCTTTATGTCTGTCTTTATGCCAGTACACACTGTTTTGATTAGTGGAGCTTTGTAGTCAGTTTTGAAATCAGGAAGTACAGGTCCTCCACATTTGTTCTTTTTTTCAAGATTGTTTTGGCTATTTGGGGTCTCTTGAGATTTCGTATGAAACTTAGAATGGATTTTTCTATTTCTGGGAAAAAGGTCTTCAGGATCTTGATAGGAATTACATTGAACTTGTAGATCACTTTGAGTAGTTTTGGTAAGTCTTCAATCCATGAACATGAGCTGTGTTTCCATTTATTTATTTTTAAATTTATTTCAGCAGTTTTATAGTCTTCATTGTATGAGTGCTTCACCTCCTTTGTGAATTCCTAAGTATTTTATTCTTTTTGATGCTACTATGAATGGAATTGTTTTTGTAATTTCCTTTTCAGATTGTTCATGTGTAGAAATACAACTGATTTTTGTGTGTTGATATTGTATCCTGCTACTTTGCTGAGTTCCAAAGTTCTAACAGTTGTTTGCTTTTTTTTTTTTTTTTGGTGTGCACTCTAGAGTTTTCTACACATAAAATATCATCTGCAGAGATAATTTTACTTCTTCTGTCCCAATTTGGATGCCTTTTATTTATTTTTCTTACCTAATTGCTCTGACCAGAACTTCCAGTACCATGTTGAATAGAAGTGGTGAAAGCAAGCAAACTTGCCTTGTTCCTCATCTTAGAGGAAATGCTTTCAGTCTTTCACGGTTGAGTATGATGTTTCCTGTGGGTTTTCTTATATGGTTTTTATTATGTGGAGGTAGTTCCCGTCTGTTCCTAGTTTGTTGAGTGTTTTTATCATGAAAGGGTGTTAAATATTGTCAAATGATTCTTGACATGATCCTCTATTTTTTTTTTACCCCCTCTATTCTGTTGATGTGGCATATTACACTGATCAGTTTTCATATATTGACCCATACTCGCATTCCAGGAATAAATCCCACTTGGTCGTGGTATATAGTCCGTTTAATATATTGCTTGTATTTTGTTGAGGATTTTTGTATCAATATTATAAGGGTTGTTGGTCTATAGTTTTCTTGTATCTCTGTCTGGCTTTGGTATCAGGGTAATGCTGGCCTCATAGAATGAGTTAGGAAGTGGTCTTCCCTTCTCTCCATTTTTTTGGAAAAGTTTGGGAAGGATTGGTATTGGTTCTTCTTTAAATGTTTGGCAGAATTCACCTGTGAAACTAATGACGATCTGGGGCTCTTCTTTGTTGGGAGATGGATTATTGATTCAATCTCCTTACTAGTTATAGGACTATTCAGATTTTCTATTTCTTGGTGATTTAATCTTGAAAGGTTTTGTGATTTTAGGAATTTATCCATTTCATCTAGGTTATCCAATTTGTTGATGTACAGTCATTCATAGTACTCACTTGTAATTCTTTTTGCTTTTGTAGCATAATGTCCCCACTCTCATTTCTGATTTTAGTAGTCTGAGTTTTCTCTTTTTTTCTTAGTCCATCTAGTGAAAATTTGTCAATTAAAAAAAAATTTTTTTGAGTGAGCGGAGCAAGATGGCGGAGGAGTAGGAGACCTGGATTTCGTCTGGTCTCAGGAATTCAGCTGAATAGGGATCAAACCATTCTGAACACCTACGAACTCAACAGGAGAGCGAAGATAAGAATAGTAACAACACTCTGAACAGAAAGGCGACCACTTTCTGGAAGGTAGGACGTGCGGAGAAGTGAATCCGAGGCGATATTCGGGAGGATAGACGGAGGGGGAGGGGGCCTCCATCGGCCGCTTCTGGCAAGTGATAGAGCCGCGGAGCACAAAATCG